GAGAGAGAGAGAGAGAGAGAGAGAGAGAGAGAGAGAGAGAGAGAGAGTGTGTGTGTGTGTGTGTGTGTGTGTGTGTGTGTGTGTGTGTGTCTCTGGCTAAATGACTTTTCTTTACTTTGGAGGATGAAGATTCTCTTTGTAACAAGCTATGCACATTTACTATCACACAGAAAGAATTCATGAACCAGCATTGGTAAGTGAGCACTTTTCCCATGAGATTAGGAGTTTCTCTTTCTTGCCTGGTGGGATTTTTCACTCATTTGGGGATTTTTGATCTCCATAGGTACCATTGTCACACCTGCAAGATGGTGGATGGGGTCGGTGTGTGCACAGTGTGTGCTAAGGTCTGCCACAAGGATCACGAGATTTCCTATGCCAAGTATGGGTCCTTCTTCTGTGACTGTGGAGCCAAGGAAGATGGTAGCTGTTTGGTAAGAGGGCCAGAATGCTTGTTGTGCTCTTAAGTGATTGGACGGTTAGGACAGACTGGGAGAGAAGTACCAAGACACACAAGGGTCTAGTCCATTTGCTTTCCTGGTGACATCCAGTGCAGTGTCATAGGCAGAATTGGATTAGCTTGGGAGCATTCTGGATTCTTAAGTTAGCTTTGTCTCCTACCTTGTTGTGTGACCCTTTGAAAGTCACTTCTCCCTCTTAGATTCTTAGTGTCTTCTGCAAAATGAGGAAGTTAGGCAGGATGACCTCTGAGATGACATCTGAACCCAAGATCTTCTTTGACACTAACATATGATGACTCTAAGAGTCTATCTTGTGCTGCTGCCATAGGCCGTAGGTAGGGTACATCATCTCTTGTCATTTCTCCTAGGCTACCTCCAGATCTAGTTTTTCAGGCCCAGCCTGACAAATGATGATAGGGAAATATTGAGGAATGGGGCTCATGAGGCGTTATCCTCAAAATTAGGACATGATAAGTGAATAATTGGGAGGACAGCATTTAGGCCATCATGACCAAAATTAGTAGATGGTGTAAAGCTAGACACACACTAGACAAGAGAATCAAGCTTACAGAAGATCTCAACAGGCTAGATAAAACATTGGACCTAATAGAATATGTTGTACAGTTAACCTCCCAAGTAACGCGCCAGTGGAGGCATGGGTAATAGCAGTTGTTCTGAAAAAGATATGGGGTTTTTAAGTGAATGACAAGGTCAGTATGAATCCATAGTGCATGACAGCCAAGAAAGCTAATACAGCTTTCATCTGCTGTGAGAGATGACATCCTGTCTAGGATGCGGGAGCTTCTTCTAGGCCCTGCTCAGATCACACCTGGAATGTTGTGTTCATTTCTGGGCACCACATTTTTGGGAGGCTGTTTAACGGCTGGAGAATGGAGTCAGGATGGGGAAGCTCCTCAATTGTGTCATGTGAGGATTGTTTGAAGGAGGTAGGCAGGAGTAAAGAAGACTTAGCAGGGATGTTAGTTTTCCTGTATCTGAAGTACTAGCACATGAAAGAGGGATTAGCTTGTTCTGCTTGACTTCAGAGGGAAATTCAGAGAGACAAACTGAGATTTAATGTAAGGAAGAACTTCACAGTTAGAGGTCTCTGAAAGTGGACTGGGCTGGCTTAAGGGCTGTTCATTTTCTTCTTCTGGAGGTCTTTGTGTCACTTTTGGGGTATGCTGTAGAGGGGGATTCCTATCCAGGGATGAGTTTGAGGTGTAAGATTTTGTAACTCATTCCCCTGATTAGGCGCCCCAGGGTCTCAGGTGGTGTAGACCCGAGGTCCTGTGGTTAGGGCTGGGACTCTCTGAATTTGGATTGGTTTTTCTCAGGCTCTGGTGAAGAGGGCACCTAGCAGTGGCATGAGCTCCACAATGAAGGAGTCAGCATTCCAGAGTGAGCCCCGGGTTTCTGAGAGTGTAGTGCGCCATGCCAGCAGCACGTCGCCAGCAGACAAGGCCAAGGTCACTATCAGTGATGGCAGAGTTGCTGATGAGGAGAAGCCCAAGAAGAGCAGTTTGTGCCGGAGTGTGGAAGGTTGCCGAGAAGAGCTTCAGACCCAGGTGGGCTTCCCAGATTTCTGACCCAGGATCAGGAATGAGAGTCTGAGGGAGGCAGGGGAAGAGGGTCTCTGGACTTTGGTCATCCATAGGTACATTCTGTCACCTGGAGTCACAGAATTTTCACCTCAAGTTTCTCCTTATGTGTGGCGGAAGCAGCTGTAATTAACCATTAGAAGTTACCACCTCAGCATGGTTTTGCTGCCTGATAGCATGGGGGGGGAGGGACACTGGAACAGTTAAACGAGTCAGCAGCACACTGAGTTTGGCAGCTGTTTCCACGAAAGGAGAGGTGAGGTTGGAAGTCTTGAGTTTTTACACAAATCAAATGAAGCCTTGGTAGGTTGTTCCAATGGCTGGTATGTTGGGCTAGGAATGAGGAGAAGTGTATTGTAATGATACCTCCTCTTAAAGATGTCACAGATATGATATATCATCTTTGTGCACTTTCATTTCTTCATTTGTTTTTTTCCTCAGGCGAACTTCTCCTTCGCTCCCTTGGTGTTAGACATGCTTGGCTTCCTCATGGAGGCCATTCAGATCAATTTCCAGCAGGCTTCAGCTATGGGCAGCAGCAGCCGGGCCCAGCAGGCACTCAATGAGTTACACACTTTGGACAAAATGGTAGAGATGACTGACCAGCTGATGGTGAGTGCCAGTGAGCCAGGCAATGCGGGGACCAGTGAACTTACTGTCAACCAGATTGTGCCCAGTGCTATACCCAATACACTTAGGATGTAGTCTCTACCTTCTTAGGATGAGTATATAGTCATAAACAATCTGTCATCTTACTGTATACCTCTTCTAGCCCTCGAATACTTTTTAACCTCCTATGGTACATAAATCACATAAATTGTGCCTGAGTACGGTTGTTTGTTTTTTTAAATAATATTTTATTTTTCCCCAATTACGTGTAAAGACAATTTTTAGAATTTATTTAAAAAATTTTTTTGAGTTCCAAATTTTCTCTATCCCTCCCTCACCTTCTTCCTCCCTGAGACAGTAAGCAACTTGTTACAGGTTGTATATTACACTTATTTTTAAAAAGGTAGCTGTAGTACTGGGACATTATCACTTGGTTACATTATCACTGGGTATTTGTGTTTCTCACCTTTGTGTAGGTCCCAACCTTAGGCTCCCAGGAAGGTGCCTTTGAAAACGTCCGCATGAACTACAGTGGAGACCAGGGCCAGACCATTCGCCAGCTCATTAGTGCCCACGTGCTGAGACGTGTGGCAATGTGTGTGCTGTCTTCACCCCATGGACGACGCCAACATTTAGCTGTCAGCCATGAAAAGGGCAAGGTAGATCCTCCAGTTCCCTTATTCACTCCCTAGTTTTTTTATTTATATTTTATTTTTTTCAACAAACAAAAATTCACCTTCTCTTCTTCTTGTCCCAACTCTACTACTCCCCTCCCCTCCTTTGAGAGCAAAAGAAAAACAAAAAACAAAACATTTAACATATTTGTATCAACAAATATATATAATCAAGCAAAACAAATTGCTATCTGTCTCCTTGTCTCTCTCTCTCTCTTTCTCTCACTCACACACACACACACACACACACACACACACACAGAGTGAATGAGATAAAGATAGATATCTATATTTCTCTCTCTCTCTCTCTCTCACTCTCTCACTCTCTCACTCTCTCACTTTCTCACTGTATACTCTCAGTCCTTCACCTTTCTCTTAGGGCATGGGTAGCATGTTTCATCATTAGCCCTCTGGAATTGTGTTTGATGATAACACACTGATCAAAGTTCTAAAGTCTTTCAGAGGCATTTGTCTTTACTGTATTGTTTTCATTGTAAACATTGTTCTCCTGGTTCTTTCTGTGTGATTCACTCTACATCCATTTATCCAGGTCTTCTCAGGTTATTCTGAAACCTTCTCTATCATTTCTATCACATTCACATGCTATAACTTGTTTAGCCATTCCCCAGTTTATGGGCATCCTCTGGAAATCTCATTTCAGTGACAGACATTTTTAAACTTTTAAAAGTTCTTATTTCATTTCTTTAAGAAATTCTAATTTCAGGAAATCTAATTTTCCTTTCTATGTGCCCAGCCTCTCCCTGGGCACTGGAATACTCTGCATGCAGCAATCCTAGCCACAGCTTGTCCTCATTGTCTACAGATCTCTCTATCTCCCTATGCCATTCTATGCTAGAAAAATAAGTTACTGTGACCTTTGCTTAGATTTCCCCATCAGGATTCAGTCTGGTGCATTTTCTAGCTATGTTTGAAGGAATTTTTTGAGGGGGTAGGCAAGGTGCTGTCTACTGCTTCCTGCTACTCTGCCATCTTGACTCCTTATAATATTACAAAGGTTTTTCTTGCTTAGCTGCCAAATAAAACTGTAGCAGAGGGTCCTCATCACAAGAGACAAGGAAGAAATCATGCCCTTTTCTGAAGGTTCTGTGTCTTCTGATGGTATCAGAGCTGGGAATATATGTTGGCCATGTTCCTTTACAGATTACTGTTCTGCAGCTCTCTGCACTCCTCAAACAAGCAGATTCCAGTAAAAGGAAGCTGACCCTCACCCGCTTGGCATCGGCACCAGTCCCCTTCACTGTGTTAAGTCTCACTGGAAATCCTTGTAAGGAAGACTACCTTGCTGTGTGTGGACTGAAGGTAAGAGTATAGAGTCAATTTGGGAGGCCATTAGAATTTTGTAGAGAGTTTGATGTTTTTCCCTTATTAGATTATGTGCTACATGAGGGCAGGGACCCTCTCTTTTGTATTCTTCTCAATGATGATCATAATGGTGCTTAATAATTGTACTGAGTTGAAGAGAAATAAATGCCTCTATGCCCCCTTTGTTCCTTCTGTTTTATGGCTATTGATGTGTTTTGATTTTAGGTAAAATTAGTGAGCAGATTATATTTTTCTAAAGTCCTTTACCTGGCTATTTCTTGCAAGGAGTTTGAAAACTTCTTGATGACGGTTTAAGTGGTTGTCTTTAAAGGATTCCTTTCAACAAATTCAGTGAACCTTTTTTGAGTGCCTACTGTGTACAGTGCCCTAAGGACAGAGACAGATAAATAATCATTTTTGTCTTTTTACAACTTAAATCTAGTCAGGGGAGACAATTGGTAAACAAATGATTATCATACAGAAGAGATCATGAGAAACACATAAATGTTCAAGTAAAGTGGCCTGCAAAGTCCAAGGAGAGAATGGCCATTTTTGACCCCGGGTGGGGGGGCGGGGCGGGCAGAGATCAGTGGGGAGGGTGGACATTGCACTATATCTTGAAAGGGCAGAAGGGATGAGGATGTTCGTGTGCTGCGAATGGGCCTAGAAAGTCCTGGTGGGAAGTATTGAGGACGGGGGAGAAGATTACATGACTAGGTAAAGACATTCCACAGCCGAGTGGAAGTCTCTGTTTCCAGGCACGGAAGTTGATTGAGAGGCGAAGAAGAAAGGGGGATTTCTGAGACATGAGCAGGAATAAATCAGACCATGCTTTGTCTTCTTTGTCCCCATGCTGGGTGCAGGACTGCCACGTGCTGACTTTCAGTAGCTCAGGCTCCGTTTCTGACCACTTGGTGCTGCATCCTCAGTTGGCAACAGGAAACTTTATCATCAAAGCTGTGTGGTTACCTGGCTCACAGACAGAGCTGGCCATCGTTACTGCAGACTTTGTCAAGGTACTCTCTCTTTTTCTTAGTGTTGGTACAGTGACCCTGTGGTGTTTGGGACCCTCTGCTAGCCAACAGTGTGCTTCAGAAAGCGTCTCAGTGGGGGTGACCTATTGTTGTTGTCATTTATCCTTTATTCTCCAAGAGTACCAGTGACATCATGAAGGTGATGGCTTGACTTGGCGTGTGAATTGTTTTTGAGTGAGGCAGAGCTGCTCAAAGTTGTCAGCCTCACTCTCTCCTCCAGAGTCATCGAAGTCCAGCGGCAAGACATAGGTCAAGATGACAAGCCTCTGTAACTCATTGATTAGGTTTTGATGGCCTGGAACGAGTGTAAATAGTAATTGTTTTCTGTTCTGATCAGAAGCTTTGAGGGTCTTCCCTTCCCAGATTGATATTTTTGTGATGGTAAATTAGGCCATCTTTTGTCTCAGTTCTTAGTGTTTGAAAGGGCGTTGCCTCAGATCCATTAGGGACTAACAGATTTCAGTGGCTCATTTTGCTTTTGCCAAGCATGAGAAATCCAAGTTAAAACTCATTCTAATCCTTTGTCTACTAGTCTCCAACTCAGCCTGGCAGCCTTGGTTGGTTTAGCCTCTATTGAATCAGGTGAGGTTCTTCCAGAGAGGACCAAGAGTTGGCTTCTTGTTTAGTCTTTTCTCTCTCTGCCCTACAGATATACGACCTCTCTGTTGATGCCTTGAGCCCAACCTTCTACTTTCTCTTGCCGAGCTCAAAGATCAGAGACGTTGCTTTTCTCTTCAATGAGGAGGGGAAGAACATTATTGTTATAATGTCCTCAGCTGGCTACATCTACAGTCAGCTCATGGAGGAGGCCAGCAGTGCCCAGCATGGGCCTTTTTATGTCACAAATGTGTTGGAAGTCAATCATGAAGACCTGAAGGTTAGAGTGACTTTTCTCTTTTCTCTGCCCTCAATTATTTAGGATCATAGGATTTAGGATTGGAAGAGACCCTTAGAGATCCGTGAGTCTAACATCCCATTTTTATAGCTGAGGAAACTGAGGTCAAAAGTGGCAAATTGATGTATCCTATGTTACCCAGGGAGTAAGGAACAGAGCCAGTATTTGGCCCCAGGGCCTCTGACTCTTAAAAATGCTTTCACCTCTGCCATGTCGCCTCTCCAGCAGTTTATCCATGAGATGGGGAAAGAATGTTTTTTCTTTTTCTCACCTGAAGTCTTCTTTCCCATGATCTTAAACACATATTGATGTCCTGAAGGATGAAACTGATTGACCCTAACAATCCACTGTCCTCAGTTCCCAAGGTTTATGTTATAAGTTTCCCCCTGGAGATATTCCCTCTGCAGTAGCCCATGGAGCTGTTAAGGAGGCTGGCATGAGATAGCCTGGCCCTGGCACAAGAGTCTGATAGAGCTACTGGCAAGCAGGAGTAGCAGAGGCTTGCCGGCCTGTTACAGCTGTCTGGGTGCTTTGCTCAGTACAGTGTTGGGTCTGTGCCCCGGCAGGACAGCAATAGCCAGGTCGCAGGAGGAGGCGTGTCTGTCTACTACTCCCACGTGCTGCAGGTGCTCTTCTTCAGCTACTGTCAAGGAAAATCCTTCGCAGCCACCATCAGCAGGTCCACGTTGGAGGTACTGCGGCTCTTCCCCATCAGCGTTAAGAGGTAGGAGCCAGCTTTGTGGCTCATGGGCATGAGCATTCCCTTTCTGGTATTGGCTATGAGCAAAAGAAGTTTTTTGTAGTATTTCGTGTGGAAACCAAAGCTGAGTCTCTAGATAATAGGATTTTGTGAGAAAGTAGTCCTCAGATTTTTAAAGGCAGAAATAAAGGTTTAGAGCCGTTGGAAAAGTTGCTTTATAGTTCCCTCTCATTTGTGTTTCTGTTGATCCCCCACTTTCAGATAAAATTAAGAGAACAAACACTCAGCTGTTCATGCTAGGAAACACACTTTGCTATATATAAAGTTGGAGCATTAGACATGGAACATGCAGGGAGTTTCACACTCTTATCTGTCTGCCAGAGGGCAGACATGGAGGGCTACATATTGTCATATTTGAATTTGGTTGCTCAGCAGTGTTATCAGTTGGCCTTAATTCTGATATGAATACATGCCCTCGTCTCCAGGGGGTTATATTTGGGGCTAAAGGAAAATGTGTATTTAGTCCAGAACAGAATTGGGTCATAAAGATGGGCTGGATGCATACAGTATCATTCCCTCCAGTGATGAATGACCAGAGTTGAGTTAGCTGATCTGGTTGATCAGGCTTGTGTTCCTTTCTTCCTTTCATACACCATCTTTATTCATTATTAATCCATGTAGTCTGTTGAAGAGACTTCTTCATTCTTTGGTTTACGTATAGAATTAGTGTTTGATGATTGCCATTTAAATTATTGTGGGTCTGTCTTTATTTGTTGCAGTACTAATGGTGGCAGTAAAACTTCCCCTGCTCTTTGCCAGTGGTCTGAGGTGATGAACCACCCTGGTTTGGTGTGTTGTGTTCAGCAAACTACAGGTGTGCCACTGGTGATCATGGTGAAACCAGATACTTTTCTCATCCAGGAGATCAAGACTTTGCCAGCTAAAGCGAAGGTTGGTACTAGTTCCTTCTGTCTTTGACCATGAACCTTTTCTGCTGTATCTGCAGATCAATTCTCTAGCCTTATGTAGAAGGCCTGAAAAAGAATTTTGGCCATTTTTTTTCTAGACCTCTTTCTTTGAGGAAGAAGGAACTGCTGCTGTGCCATGATTTCTTAATTTTGAAGCCCTTTTTAATTGCTGTGGTGGCTGATAATTGTCCTCCTTTATTCCTTCCCAGATTCAGGACATGGTTGCTATCCGGCACACAGCCTGCAATGAGCAGCAAAGGACAACCATGATTCTGTTGTGTGAGGATGGCAGCCTACGCATTTACATGGCCAATGTGGAAAATACATCCTACTGGCTCCAGCCTTCCCTGCAGCCCAGCAGTGTCATCAGCATCATGAAACCTGTCCGAAAGCGCAAGGCAGCAGCCATTAGTAAGGCCCAAAACCTCACCCCCAGTCCCTTTTTAAACTATTTGAGAAGTATTTGGATATAATAGCCACCTGTTAGCAATAGGACAGCAGCTTAATCTGCAGTCAAATACATGTTTGCTTTAGCTTTGAATTGGGTTTGGGGCAGGCTCTTCAGGTTTTTATCCTTGGGAAACATGGATTTCCTTGTATTCAGAGGAGAACTGACTTATATGAACAGAAAGGAGGCGGCAAGGTGGGTTGATTTTCCAACAAGCAACCAAGAACTTATTAGCCCGTGTCTCTGAAATGATGAAGCCATTGTCCTTAGGGAGGCTGAAGTGTTTGAATTGGAGCAGAGAGTTCCTCAAAGACTGGCGCTGGGCTTGTCTTGGCAATTCATATTTATTGGATGGCTTGATGTAACTCACACTTCTCAGGAGACAATATTAATGATAAGTGGGCTAACAGCGAGCTTCTCTTACCAATGACAGGGCTAGTCCTAGAATTGATTGTTGGCAAGGTAAAGAAGGACAATGACTTATCTTCTCTGATACATCCTGGGATAGTAGCAAGATCATGGGACTTGTGAGTCACTCTTGGCTTTGTGTCCTGGCCCTGACACTCACCTGGGACCTGGACCAAGTCCCTTCACTTCTTTGAGTCCTATGTAGAAGGAGGATAATAACCCTTATACCCCCTCACTCCCATAACCATGGTGAGAAACATGCTACAGAAATGGGATCTGCTGTTTCTGCTCTTCCTGAGCTCCTCTGTGGGCTGCTGAGCTCAGACTTCACAGGGCTACTCGGGCACAGAGAAAGCAGAGGTTTCTGAATATGATTTTAGACAGGAGTCTTGTGGATATTAACAGACTTAGTGTAGATGACAGGTGTTGCGGCTTTCTGACATCTCTCTTTGCTCTCTACACACAGCTACTCGAACTTCCAGCCAGGTCACTTTCCCCATCGACTTCTTCGAGCACAACCAGCAGCTGACAGATGTGGAGTTTGGTGGCAATGACCTCTTACAGGTCTACAATGCACAGCAGATAAAACACCGGCTTAACTCCACAGGCATGTATGTGGCCAACACCAAGGTGAGCACTGGACTGAGCCTCTTTCTTTCTTTCTTTCTTTCTTTAACATTAATTAATTTTTAGTTTTCAACATTCACTTCCATACGCTTTTGCATTTTAAATTTTCTCCCCCCCACCCCGGTGGAGTGCAATCTGGTATAGTCTCTACATATACATTCTTATTAAACATGTTTTCACGTTAGTCATGTTATAAAGAAGAAGTAGAACGAACGGGAGGAACCATGAGAAAGAAGAAACAAACAAAAAAAAGAGATCAAATAATGTGCTTCCATCTGCATTCAGACTCCAGAGTTCTTTCTCTGGATGTGGAGAACATTTTCCATCATGAGACTTTTAGAGTTGTCTTAGATCCTCGCATTGCTGAGAGGAGCTGAGTCTGTCAAAGTTAGTCATCGCACAGTGTGGCTGTTACTATGTACGATATTCTCTTGGTTCTGCTCCCTTCACTCAGCATCAGTTCATATAAGTCCTTCCTGAGTTCAGCTCTTTCTGAGAGGTACCATAGTATTCATTTGTTTGGAAAAAAAATTTCTTTTCAGAGAGCAAAAATGTAGTTACCAGCTGTGATTATCCTTTAATATAAATGAATGACTTTAAAAAAGTGGACTTTTTAAACTTTTGGATAAGCATACGAAGCAGATGGGTTAACCTCTTCTACTGTAGTCTCTATATATCACATACGCAGGAGAATGCCCTTTCCACAAGCCCATTTGTGACATTGCCAAGAGAGTTGTGGATAGTGTTGGGAGATCAGGTAGGGGAGATTAGGAAACACTAGCTAATTTTGGTTGGGCTTGGAGCAAGGGTTGGGAAGTCTGAAACTGAGGAGTATATAGCATGTCAGCTGGCTATTCATCCTGTGTCTTGGTCTCTCGAGCCTCAGGAGCAAGGAGGAAATTATTATTCCCATTTTACAGCTAAGGATCCTAGAGAGTGGCGTGTGAAATGACCTATTCAGTTACTGATTGAGCTGTTAGATAGTTGGTGGCTCCCCGTCTGGTAGCCCTTCCGTGTTTTTTACGAAGCCACCAGAGCAGGTCCTTCCGTTGCTCCTTCTTTCTCTCTGTGCCTCACCCTCCCCTCCCGGCTGGCCGAGGTAAAGCTCTGTGTGTCTGCTTGCCTCCTTTCTCACAGCCTGGAGGCTTCACCATCGAAGTGAACAACAACAACAACACGATGGTGATGACGGGCATGCGCCTGCAGATCGGGACCCAGGCTGTCGAACGGGCCCCCTCGTACATCGAGATCTTTGGCCGCACCATGCAGCTCAGCCTGACGCGCTCACGCTGGTTTGACTTCCCGTTCACCCGAGAAGAAGCGCTGCAAGCTGACAAGAAGCTGAGTATCTTCAGTGAGTCACAGGCCATTTCCACTGGCCTCTGAAGAGTGGCCATCAGTTTTGGGATAAGCATAAAGAGAGAGCACAGCACCTTGGTGTGAACTCCGGGAGATGCATTTGACCACTGACAGACTTGGAATGATTTGTTAGGCAGTGGAACAGCAGCATTTAGGGCCATTCTCCCCCTTGGCAGGTGGTACCTGGGAAAGGAGGAGGAAAGGGGTCAAATGACCTATTTATTGACTGTCTCCTATATGCAAAACATTGTGGTGGTCTCTTTTGGAAAACAAAGAAGTGTACCATGGTTTGAGCAGTAGCTTGGTGTATCTTGGGAACGGGTCGACATTCTTAAGAGGTCGTCATCTGTGTTGTCAGCTCTATGTGGCAGCACTGTACCGGTGGGGCAGTGAACAGAGTGCTGGGCCTGCAATCAGGAATATCTGGATTTGAATCCAAGCTCTTTTACTAGTTGTGTGACTCTAGCAAGTTACTTATACTGTCTTTGCCTTAGTTTCCTCACTTGTAAAATGGGGATAATAATAGCACCTTCCTTAAAAGACTTGTGGGGATCAAATGCGATAATATTTGCAAAAAGGGCTTAGCACAGTACCAGGCGCATGGTAGGCGCTATATAAAAGCAAATGGTGATAACTCTTCTCTTCCTCTCCCTTCCCTGGGAACTCACCATCTTATTTGGGGGAGAGAGCCAGCCAGATAACGAAAGAAAAGGATACACTTGAAAAGTAGAGATGAGAGAAGAGGTGGGTAGTGCCGTGAGATCTTATTTGTGCGTAGTCACTTGTATGCTTATGTCTCTCAGGCAGAGAGCCCAGCAATCTAAACAGATAAGAGTTCCAAGGCTGGAGCCCTGGGTTCTTCCTTTTTCTAGTTGAGACTTAGTGGGGCCTGTGTTCACGCACTGGTGAGAGCTTTTTGCCTAGGTCACTTGATCATGCAGCTAAGACGGGCTCATCTGTGCCTTCCTCTTTTACTTGTTTGGCTGTTCTGTTGTTTTCAGGAGATGCAGCCATGCCTAATAGCAAATGGTCGATACTGTGATCGAACTAGGAAAGCGCTCTTGGAGATGGTTGGTGTGTATAGGACTGGCTGCCCGTGGTCCTGTTGTATGGGGTGGTGACCTCACAGTGTGACTAAGTCTGGGCACGTCTGTTTGAGATCCCAGGACCAAGGAGGGGATTTGGCTTGTCTGTTACTGAAGCCAAGAATGTTTGTGGTCGAGTGGAGAGTCCTGGAGGTTTTAGGAGCAGAAGCTGGCATGGCGAGCAAAAGAAGCATAAGAATAAACCTAGGGGCACTTTGATTTGCTTCTCTTTGTAGACTAGTCTAGTGTTTGCCTTTGAAGGGTATGGGGAGTCTGCCTCCTAAATTCTCTCTTTGTTTTGCAGTCGGGGCCTCAGTGGATCCAGCAGGAGTTACTATGATAGACGCTGTCAAGATTTACGGCAAGACTAAGGAGCAGTTTGGCTGGCCTGATGAACCCCCAGAGGATTTCCCTTCTGCCTCTGTCAGTAATATCTGCCCCCCCAATGTGAGCCAGGGCAATGGCACTGGAGAGAGTGACACAGCAGCTCCTGCCACCTCCAGCGGGACTGTCCTGGAGAGGTACCAACCTTAGCTTTAACTTTGACATAACTGGGTCTCCTCCCCTTCCCCTCCCCACTCCATGCTCCTGTATATCTTCAGAGTGTGCTTTAAAACATCTATCCAGAACTCAGTCTCTGCCCTTTGTTTTCACCATATTTGCCAATGTCCAGTGTCCCCCTGGTAGAATTGAAGATACCCCTGGAGCCCAGTCTACCCCTGAGGCTCCTTTCCCTTTTCCTGATGATACCCTTGAGCTCAGTTCCCCCTGCGATTTCCTGACTCCTTCCTTTCTTAACTCATTTGGATCAGCAGCATAGAACAGAAAGTTAAGTCTCAGGCCAGCTTGCCATTTGGGGAGCCAGTCTTGCAGATGCTGCTGGCAGGTCCTCCTGGACTCTCTCGTCTTACCATTCTCCGGTCTCTTTCTGCAATAGCCACTTTTGTGGGAGCAGCCTTGCTGGTCTGAGGCTGCCCTCTGCATTCTGGGGATCAGTTCAACGGTCTCCTTAAACATGCCTTGTGCTTGGCTTTGTGCAGGGAGGTTTGGCCGGGTATCTTACAATGCGAAATGTTGATTTTCTTATCTTATAAGAGCCCGAGAAGAGCCTGGCTTGACAGCATCTTCTCCCTGCCCTCCCCTTCCCCATATTGATTTATGGTTTCCACTTTTTTCTGAGCTTCACTTATTTTCTTTCCTTTTTTTCTTTGCTTCCCCCCAAGTTCTGAAACTGAGTCCCTAACCAAGCTGGATCGGTTAGTATGCCCTCCTTTCCTCTGCACGAGTGAATGTGTGTCTGAGAGCACCATGAGCAGTGATGTGGCTTGGCATTGACCCTGCTTCTGTTGACAGGGGCCGTTCTGCTTCTTTGCTTTCTGCTTCTTGCATGGCTGCAGGCTTCTCCCCCTGTAAAGACGGGTTGGCCTGAGGAGTTCAGGTGCCCATTTGGTGTCATTGTTGCCTGCTTTGCAGACTGACTCGTAGCTTGCTCTTTCCTACCCTTTTCCTTTCTGACCTTTCTTTACCATGTGTTTATGGCCATGGGAAGAAGAATGTGTTATCTGCTTGATCATAGATAAGCAGTCAGAGAGCTTACTTGATCACAGTTGTTTCTTGACTCCTTTCTCCTTCCTTTCCTTGTTCTTTGCTCCATTTCTCTAGCCCTTTTTGCCCTTTTCTCTCCTGCTACCCCCTTCCACACTTCTCTCTCTCTCTCTCTCTCTCTCTCTCTCTCTGTGCCAGAGCTTTATATGGCAAGATACTGGTTTCATTATAAAACACTTGTGAGAGTTGGGGCAGAAGGCTCAGGAGAGTGTTGGCAGTGTGTTTCTTTGGGGGAATCTTAAGCTTTGGTAACAGTATTGCTTATCTACCTCTTTCCTTGAGTGTCTGATGAGCAGCTGCACAGCATCTGATTGGTGCCTTAGGTATGCCATCACTGGGGTGTTGGCAGTGCCATGCCCATGCCAGTTTCTTCTCTCTCCTTTTCTGTGAATAGCCTCTACACTTAGGGTTCCCAGGAAATGCTTGTGTGGCCTTTGCTGAAAGTGTTGGGGACACCTAAAAGGACTATGGTCATGGTGTAACTTTTGCTCACTTCAAGAACTGTTCAAGAATAGTCTTTCCTTGGCACCCCATCATTCCTTGGTCTCTGTACCCCTGTGCCCTGGGCTCTGGTGTATCCAGGTTGTTAAGCCAATTCAGTGATCCTTGCCACAGGCAGCAGAAGAAACAGTTTTATCCTCTTTGAAAGAGAAAAGCCCTGTCTTTGAGCTGTGGATTATGAGCAGGGCCCTAGGTTGTTGTGTGAGGGGGAGCCAGGTTTCACTCTGGCCTGTGACACGAGGAAACGATATGCATGGTGCCTGTAACTGGTCTTATCACGCTCCGATTCTGTCCTTGGCATTCACCAGCTGTCCCCGAGCTACCCACAGCTGTAGTCTGCCTAGGCCAAAGCACAAGGGGGAGGCGGGCTGCTTGACTCAAGCTGCTTTTCTCTCTTCCCTCCAGGCTAGTGGGGAGTTCTTTAGAAGCCCTCGAAAGCTGCTTTGCTGTGGGCCCTGTCAGTGAGAAGGCAAGTGACTTCTTCAAAGCCATGGGAGCTTTCTGACAAGGCGTGTGGATCCTCGGGCCTTTCTGGTCTCCTCTTTGAAGGGCTTGGCCTCTGTTTGGCACAGGCCCTTGGAGTTTGTTGTGGGGGAGCATCCCTGGGGGAACACACAGCCTCTGCACCCTTGTGTGATAGCCCTGGCTGTGCTGTGGCCTTGTTAGAGCCAGGCCTAGGTCACTGGACTAGCCACTTGAGGCCTCCAGGAGGGCATGGACTAGTTGAGGGCTTGAGGCCCTGCTGTGGCTGAGTCCTGTGAGAGATGGGCCTCCTGAGGTGGTGAGAGAAGGGAGGGAGGGAGAACTGGAGCAGGCTGTTTGGATCTGCATTGATACTAATCCCTCCGCACTCTTCTTCTGTGTCCTCCTCTCTGGGACCAGGAAAAGAGCAAGGCTGCAGCTCAGGAGCTGGCTACCATGCTGCTCTCCATGCCAGCACCGTCCAGTGTCCAGCAGCAGACGAAGAGCCTCCTTGCCAGCCTTCACACCAGCCGCTCAGCTTATCATAACCACAAGGTAATCACCCCAGAGGCCCCTCAGGGCCTAGGAGCCCAAACGCCCCTCAAATTCATCTTGGCTAACTCTTTCTCTTGAGAGATGGCTGAGCCTCTGATAGAGTAGAATTTGGGGAGCAGAAACCATAGTTGTTAATGTGACAGAGGAGAAAATGAGTTCTGAGCTGCAGGTGTAAACCTGGGGAGCGGAGATCAGACTCTGCTGGAGAGGCTGTAATCCTCAGTGGCTTTTCATTTGTGACACTTGCTCCCATTTTGCTCCCTGCAGCAGTTTGCCTGCTCCCTACCCCTTTAAGGATAGAGGGTGGCCTTGTTGCTGCGACCTCCCTGACCCTCCCATAGGCTCCAGCCCCAGTCCCTTGCTTTTTTGGCCAGTCCTGTGTGAACCTGCTGTTTTAACAGGACCAGGCCTTGTTGAGTAAAGCCGTGCAGTGCCTCAACTCCTCCAGCAGAGATGGAAAGGAGCTGGACCCGGAGGTGTTCCAGCGGCTCGTGATCACCGCTCGCTCTATTGCCATCATGCGCCCCAACAACCTGGTGCATTTCACCGAGTCCAAGGTGCCCCCAGTGGAAGCAGGTGAATGGAACCTTGGGTGGCCGTGCCCTTCCTAAACCACTTATCCTCCTGACAGTCCTGTGAAAACACTGAAACAGGAAGGACAGGAGAAATGAGGGAGTGATTCGGAATACCTTTGTCTCTCCTTATCCTGGAAGAAAGGTTAATGGCTGAGTATCATGCAGGAGCTGTCCACCTGTTCTCCTTGATTCCAGTGTCAGCCCTCTCTAATCTATCATACATTCTGCTGTGAAAGTGATCGTCTTACTGTGCTCTACTGATTATATCACCCCTATTTCAAAACCTTCATTGGCTACTCCTGGTGGATCAGGTGGTACAGACTCCTTAGTTTGGCATTCAAGGCTATGTGGCCTACCTTTGCAGCCTTTTTTCATACTCCTCCTCTTCCTTTGTTCTACAACCCTCATAAACAATGTTGCTTGGCATTCCCCAGCCTCATCCTGCCTTTTCTCACTCCTGCTGTGGCCTGGAATGTGATCCTCCTTTTCCCATCACCACCGTCTTCTTAGTCATCTGGTAATGCCTAATTATGATGCCACCTTAGAAAACCTGAGGTTGACCCTGAAGGCCTCTAGGTAGGGGGAGCCCACTGCCTTCCACTTCTTTCAGATAGTGTTAATGGTTGGGAAGTTTTGTCTTATATCAAACCTCAGTTTACCTCTTTGAAAATGTTCACCTATTGCTCCTAGTTCTGTTATCTGGGACTGAGCAGAACAAGTTTAGTCCTTATTCCATAGAACAGTTTTTAGAGTACTTGAAGCTTGCACTCACCTTTAAGTCTGTTCATATCTAAGCTAAACACCTCCAGTGCCTTCAGCTGATCCCCACTTGGCATCATCTGGATTCCCTTCACCATCTCAGTGGTCTGCTGTCTGCCTATCACTGCTTTCCAGATGACTAGTGTCTTCCTTAAAATAGAGTTTGCAGAACTGAGCACAGTGCTGTGGAGGCAGTCTGATCTAGGGGCAGCCCAGTGATACCGGCTGGAGGCAAGGAGACCTGAGTTCAGGTCAGGCTTTAGACACTTACTAGTTGTGTGTGACCCTGGGCAAGTCACTTAACCTCTGTTTGCCCTTAGTTTCCTTATCTGTAAAATGAAGATAATAATAGCACCCACCTTCCAGGGCTGTTGTGAGGATTAAATGTGATAATGTTTGTAAAGAGCACTTAACCAGTGCCTAGCAACATAATAAGTGCTATTAGAATGTTAGTTGTTGTTATTATCTTACTCAGCTAGAATGGATTTCTCCTTCCACTTAACTCTTAGAGCACTTAATACTTATTTCATTCCTTTGCTGTTTTATATTTTGTATTATTGCCTTTTGTATACATCCTCTATTGTAGACTACTTAAAAGACAATTATTTTTCTGTCTGTCCATTTGAAATGACTAGAATCTTCCTTGAAGAAGCATCCAGAGTTCCAAAGAAGGTGATAATCCTTCGTTGAATACCACTTGCAGGTCCCTGATTCAATGAGTTTCTCTTTGCCTATTCATTCTTTCAGCGTTCCCACTGGTTTTTGGCTGCCTAGGCCATTATCAGACACTTTGAAAAGAATTGAAGTCTATTCTGTGAAACTGTCCACTTTCTAGCATTTTGATCTTGTAGATGTTGCTGTAGGGGCCACATCTATAACATACGTGTTCCACAGAGTCCCTTCTGATTGTCTCTTGTGTTTGGCATTGGTACTATCAGAAATACTGTGATTTCTGGACAGAACGTACGTTTTGTGAGATATCACTTCCCTTACCCTTTAGAGTTCAAGTCTCTTAACCTTTGGGGTATAATTCAAAGCCACCCTTGGGTCTGATTGTGTTAGGGCCCTAAGGTAATGTTTGTCTTTGTGCTGTTCAGTTGTTGTTCCATAAATTCAGTGTCTGGTTTTGGTTCTAACTCGCCCACTCTTAATCCTGTAGATCCCCAGGTCAGTGCTCTTAAGTTACCCTCAAAAGGTTATTTGTTGATTTCTTTAAAGTCATCCCTTGTTCAAATTATTCCTTTATCCATCACCTTTTCATCCCTTTTCCTGACAATTTGTAGCCCAGGGATTATTCTAGAAAAACTTAGACACACTTGGCAAAGTGGAAAGACCCCAGACCTCTCCCATTTCTTTAATGCCAGTGATAAAGTTGTTCTCGAATGTGCCTTCCTGTTTGTTTCCTTGTACATTCCTGTTAGAATCTTGGTAACAGCTTTCCTTTTGATTGAGGCCTTCCTTGAAACTCTCTATGCAGGCAAACATCCCTGACTTGACTTAACCTTAATGAAAATTAAATTTCATTCCCAGCTTACCACCATTAGTAATTTTCTTTTTGCCGCTTAGAAGGCGTGGATGAGGGGAAAGAGCCCCAGAAACATACAGAAGGGGATGGCTGTACTTTCATCACCCAGCTCATCAACCATTTCTGGAAACTGCACGCATCTAAACCAAAGAATGCCTTTTTGGCACCTGCCTGCTTACCAGGTATTTCATTAAAATAGTGGTATGCTGTTTTGTCTGTTTTTTTTTTTGTTTTGTTTTGTTTTTTGTTTTCAGGGAATGGTCAGTCAACAATCAGAAGGCATTTATTAAGCATTTACTATGTAACAGGCATTGGGCTAAGGGCTTGGGACATAAAGAGAAGCAGGAAAGGAGCTCCTGGGGGATGGGAATGGTCAGGGATAGGTGCTGAGATACCCAGGCAAAGCAGCAACTACCCACTTATTTTGTCTTGGTGAGTAGCATTGTGAGTCCATGAAATATTTTAGTACTTTGTCTTTTGAGGATCATTAAAGAAGAAGGGTGGGGGAGAAGAGAGAGAGGAGAGAGATGTTATTTTAGGTACTTGCTGTGATAGTGACCCACAATCTCATTGTCTTCAGTGCTTGCTTCATCTGCCTTTTCTCTGAGAATAACCTTCCAGCCAAGAAACAGGAATTTAGCCGTTCCAAATGGAGAGAGTTTTCTTTCAATCTTGAACAGTCTTGTATTTTCTAATTATTTTTCCTCTTTTTAGGTTTAACTCATGTTGAAGCTACTGTCAATGCATTGGTGGACATCATCCATGGCTACTGCACTTGTGAGCTAGACTGTATCAACACAGCCTCCAAGATCTATATGCAGATGCTACTATGCCCCGTATGTAACAATGTACTTTCTGACTGTCCTGTACCGATCTCACAAAGAATGATGCTGAGTATCTGAGTAGAGAATCTTTAAAAAAAATCTCTGTCAGATTGGGAAAATTTGGGGAGGCCTCTTGCTGCTAGAATTTTGTACCCACTGGATTTTTAGGAAAGTGACTAATGAGGCAGTATGGTATGGAGGGCAAAGTGCTGGATTTGAAGTGAGGACATTGGTTCTGAATTCCAGCTCTTACTAGCTTATTTTATTAGCTCTTTTATCAACTCTTTTACATTAGTCAAGCCATTTAACATCTCTGAACCTCAGCTTCTTCATCTATAAAATGAGTGAATTGAACTTGATCTCTGTAGCCTTTTCTAGCTGTTAAGCCTATGATCTTTGAAATGGAGAGAATGGGAATCAACTTTGTGTGTGTCTGTCTGTCTGTCTCATTTGGGGTTAAGTGACTTACCCAGAGTCACACAGCTAGTGAGTGTTGTGTCTGAGGTCGGATTTGAACTCAAGTCCTCCTGGTTTCAGGGCTGGTGCTCTATCCACTGCGCCACTTAGCTGTCCCGAGTCAACGTTTTGAATAGCAACTGAATGTACTTCTGTAAGGCTTGTGTTTTATTTCCAAATGCCACCACTTTAAGAGAATCCAAGAGTTAGAAGCACTGGTTATTGTAGCATAGAATTAAAGTCATCCCTGAGAAGCTATTTCTTTTTTTTACATTTGATTCAAAAAACCACAGGAAATACCTTGCCTTTTTACATATTGGCTAACAGGCTGGTATTTTATATGGATGACTAACCTATCTGTTACTGTAGTGGCCATATATTATGTTAGGGGTCAGGGATGAAAGACTGACCCGATCCAGCTGGGTCTCAAGGTTAGTCAGAAAGAGTAGGTATTTATTGATTTGATGAGTACCTGGAAACCCAAATGTGATGCCTTCCATTTGTATTTCAGGATCCTGCTGTGAGCTTCTCCTGCAAACAGGCTCTGATCCGAGTGCTAAGGCCCAGGAACAAGCGGAGACATGTGACGCTGCCCTCCTCCCCTCGGAGCAACACGCCCATGGGTAATGCAGGGGTCGCTGTCCGTTTGGCATGTGGCACGTGGCATGTGCTCAAGGGTCGTCCAAGTGGATGATCAGTCTTCTCCCTGGAGTTTAAAGTTAAGCTTCTTTCTTCAGGTGTACTGTTATTACTCCACTTCTGGTCTTCTGACAAAGACTGAGATTCATTTCCCTGAGAAACAAACTGGAGCTTAGTGGTGTTCTTTTGCTGTTTTGCCCAAAGTCACCTAGGATTAGGTGGGCAATGTGTACCATCTTCATCTTCTCAGGCTAAACTGGCTAGGTGTAGAGCTTAGAGTTCCAAGTAAGGCTTAGTGCTTTGATGTTCCTAGTGCTGGATTACCGTTGTCCTGAGGGTATTAATAGTCCTTGATGTAACCTGCTATAGCTGGAGGAAGGGAGAAGCCAGGAGCCCTGAGGTGACCTAGATTTCTCTACCCTAGGAGACAAGGATGATGATGATGATGATGATGCTGATGAGAAGATGCAGTCCTCAGGGATTCCAGAGAGTGGCCACATCCGCCAGGAGAGCCAAGAGCAGAACGAGGTGGACCATGGAGACTTTGAGATGGTGGTGAGTCTTAGCCTGTTGGGAAGGGAGCACAGAGCTGGGAAGGAGCGCTTTCACTTCCCTAAGGTATTTAGCAGGCGCACTTAGCAGGCTTTCTCCTTGCAGTCTGAGTCCATGGTGCTGGAGACAGCCGAGAACGTCAACAATGGCAACCCATCCCCCCTGGAGGCTCTCCTGGCTGGTGCAGAGGGTTTCCCTCCCATGCTGGACATCCCACCCGATGCAGATGATGAGACTATGGTGGAGCTGGCCATTGCCTTGAGCCTGCAACAGGACCAGCAAGGTAGAAGGCTTTCCTGGCAATTGCTGTGGCCCCACAGGAATGGCCTTTGGTAGTGAATGATTTTGATTTGACTTATTAGCCTATGCCCAGATTTGGGAGATGAGGTTGATCTGGGTAACCGCTGCTCGGAGACACAGGTGGAGAGTGACAGAGGGGTCGCCTTCAGTGGATTTCATCTTAAGTTTTTCTCAGGCCTATCTCTTTGGTTATTTCTTTCTGAATCAGTTTCGCTTCTCTGGCCTGTGTCCTTGTTTGAACAGATGGATGCTTCCCACCATCACCCATCACCCAAGCGTGGTGGGTAGCCGGCAGTGGCTGTTTAAAGACCTCCTGCTGGCCAGGAAGGAGCCACGCACTGGTGTTAGAGGCTCTCAGGAACAGCAGGTGGCCTGAGCAGTGTTGTGGTTAAAGGGTTGGAGGGGGTGTGATGCTCACTCTCCACTTGTTTCCCAGGCAGCAGCAGCAGTGCCCTGGGCCTGCAGAGCCTGGGACTGTCCGGCCAGGCACCCAGCTCTTCCTCCCTGGACGCAGGAACCCTTTCTGACACCACAGCATCAGGTAACTGTCCGCAGCAAGGAGCGAGGCTCAGGGCCCCAGGACCCTGAGGCCTCCCTGCCTGCGCTGCGCAAGTGTGATGGGCAGCTGCTTTGACAGGCCATCTCAGGCAAACGGCTTCGGCTTTGGCTGGAGGCCGCGTGTGTCAGAGGCATCTTGATAAATACTGCTTGGCAGCAGCGCATGTCTATCTTCTCTGTCCTTTCCCTGCTGCAGTCCGACTCCACCTGGTGCCACGAGGGAAGGCCTAGAGAAGGCTCAGTGGCTGGCGAAGTCCGGCCTCTGTGGAGCCGTATGGTCTCCATTGGAGGACTTTATAGCATTTGGGGCCAGAGATACAGACCCCATCTTTCATTTTTTCCTCACCACTTTTAGGTAAAACTGAAGTGGCAAGAAGTGAGAGTGTGCTTCAGGTGAAATTCGTGTGACTTTTCGATCAGTTTGACCAACTCTCAGTTACCTTTGGGTTCAAAGACTGAGGGATAGCATGGACTTGAAAATTCACAGATAATCCCTAAACCTCCTTGTAGTCTTAAGTTCAACCTCTTTGCAACAAAACTTTTACCAGGCCTGGTAAAAAGAAATGTTTGACCAGCGTGAGTTTCATCAATTTTCTACTTCCCTCACTCGTGTCCTTGTGAAGGTATAAATCGGTGAAGAATTAGACCCAAATTGAGGCCAATGAGAGGAAGAAGGGTTTGCAGTAGAGACCCTGAATAGTGGACTAAGTGAAAACCCAGTCCTTTCATAGGCTGAGAGTTAACTCCAGTACGTTTTTAGACCATGACTCCCTGTTTCCTGTCTCTTTTCTTTTGGAAATCTTTATCTTGAGAAGATGAGCAAAGAAGAAACCAATCCAACCTGCTCCTTCCTCTTTCCCCCACAACCACCATCATGGCCTGTAGCTTCTCTTAGGCTTGTTGGATGACTGCCCCCAGGCCGGTGGAGCTTTGAGATGGATGTTGTCTTTGGTGCAGTGTGGCTTACTGAACCGTGCTCTGTCTGGCTTTCCTGGCTGGTCCTTCTTGGTGTGTTGCATCTAGCATTTTCCTCCTGTCTCAGTTGAGCCCTGATCCTCGATGCTGTGGCTGTCTCTGGGGAATTTCCTTGCTTCATTATTAGTATCTGATGAGGCTAATTAGAAATTCTGAAGCTTCCCACTGAACTTTCCCCATGCCATATGATTTTTTAAAAAAGAGAGAGAGAAATGAGCTGGTTTGTGAAAGCTCATGAAGTATGGTTGATGAGTAAACATTATGGGCTTTTCATAAAGGAGGCCTCTTTGAGAGATCAAAATAGAGATAAATGCCCATTATAATTTAGAGTCCCTTACTTTGGATGATCATGACCGGTCGCTGGGTGTCAGGATCACCTAGGCACTAATGACCATGATGTATTTTATTTGGGAAAAATTTGTCGAATGTCAGTCATACTCAACTTGTAGCATAATGGAGTGGCTAAGGAAATACCTGGGCTGGGTTTTCACTTCTGTCTTAAGTAGCAGTGAGCTGTGTATGATGTTCGTTCCTCTTGGAGATTAACCAGCAAAGCCATCTCTCGGACAACTGGATGTGAACTGCGTTGTGTCCCTTGCACCATGTGGTTTGATGCTGTCGCACCAAAGCAGTGTTTTTACCTGTAACAGCTCTTGTTACTCTCTTAGCTCCAGCGTCAGATGACGAAGGCAGCACAGCCGCAACTGATGGCTCCACCCTTCGGACTTCTCCTGCCGATCACGGCGGTAGTGTGGGCTCTGAGAGTGGAGGGAGTGCCGTGGACTCGGTGGCTGGAGAGCACAGTGGTAATGTCTCCCTGTGGAGAGGGTAGAGACAAAGGGAGAGATAACTGCCTGGATGCTAGGCTTAGACTGCAGCAAGTGGACATAGCTTAACTCAGCTGGTTTATGCTCTTTGTTGAGATGCATTTGAAGCCATAGGCTTTTTTTCTTAATAAATTTTTACTTATATCTTTTTACATCCCCTACATTTCTCACTGTATCCCTCTCTTCACCCCCTAACCCAGAGCCATTCCTTGTAATAAAGAATTTTAAAAGAGGAAGAAAAAAGAAGTCCAACAAATGTAACTGATGTATTGAAAAAAAGGTTGATGTTCCGTGGTCCCTGCCTCTTTGCAGAAGCCAGGGGAGGTAGCTTCCCAGATCTGTCCTTTGGGACCAAGCTTGAATCTCGAGATTTAAGCTTGGATTGGTGTCTTGAACCTAAAGGGATAAATACGGAGAAAGATATATAACTCTTCTTTGATTATCAGGGCTAGTGGAGGGGAACCATTGGAGTTCAAATAATCCCAAGGAGTGGCTAATCTAAAAATCTTTTTTTTTTTTTTTTAATTTGGCTTTGGAGCCTATTTCTGTGTTTGATTTCCTTCCCTAGCTTATTAAAACCAGCTGGCATTCCCACGATGTATAGCAGTTTGTTGAAGAACTGTGCGGGGTGGGAGTAGGGGTGTCTAATCTCAAAGCAGCTGAAAGTGAGCCTACCTTTGAAAAATTCTCTTAAAGCATTTTCTCTGGAGCTGTCCTGTAATCTTAGGTTATCTTGTAGCATATAATATTTGTGTGTAGGTTTTATTCTCTGCCCATCTCAACCCCTCCATTAGATTGTAAACTCCTTGAGGACAGGGGCTATGTCATTCTTCATTTTGTGTCTAGAACTAAGCTTGATAGGCTTTTACGTTGATTGAATTAGATTGAATGGGGGTAAGAGCCTGTGATAAAAAAAATTCTGTGTGAAGAATTTCAGGTCAGCTCTAGTTTACTTCCAGGATCTCTCGCCAGTATGAATTTCCTGTGGGATGTGCTGGCAGACCTTAGGTCAGAGACGTTGCCAGTCTTGTGGCTAGGATTCTCCAGTACTCCAATGGAGGTCTGTCCAGGGATGCACATTGTACTTCCTCCATGCCTTCCCCCCACTCTTCGCTGTCCTTCCTGCTAGAATTAAACCCTCGCAGGACGTCCTGCCAAAGAGGAGCGGTGACTTGCTGCCCTATTAGAGCCCCGATGAAGCTGGGCTCATAAGCTCCAGCTCTCAGGAGGCTATTCAGTTTCACGTGGAGAAAAATCATTTGAAGGCCACAGACTCTACCCATAATCCTAGCTGGCCACTTTGGGGAGAGGGTGGAGAAGGGAGAAAGTGTTGCTTAGCTTTGGGACTGATGGTGTTTTCTGACTCTTCGTTTCAGTGTCAGGACGGAGCAGTGCCTATGGTGACACCACAGCAGAGGGACACCCAGCTGGGCCGGGCAGTGTCAGCTCCAGTACTGGAGCCATCAGCACCACCACGGGCCAGCAGGAAGGAGATGGCTCGGAGGGAGAGGGAGAAGGGGAAGCTGAAGGAGACATCAACACCAGTAACAGGTGAGGACCTGGAAGGTACAATGGTGAGGACTGGGGCTAAAAGAGGAGGCCTGGATTTTACTTTGGCATTCTAAACATAACAAGCTTAGAAAACCGATTAAAATCTTTGAGCTGGTAGAGATTTCAAAAGGTATTTTATTTCCCTGCCTCCAGCTAAGTTTGCACCTAACCTGTCCCGATGGAGAGCATGGGTGTGTCTTTAGTCTCACATTTATCTTAATAATCCCATTGTAGTTGTCAAAAAGTTTGTCTTCTTTCTTCACTCAGGTTTTTCCTGCCTTGTCAGTATCTATAAATTGGTATTAAGTACTGATACTTAATCTAAGTTGTCGAAATGGCTAGGAGGCTGGCCTGCTTTGCTTTGTCCCATTACTGTGGTCAGTGATGACAGTAATGATCTTTTTGACCTGAGAAAGCCTCTGGGCTTTTTGGGCCTTCATTTGGCCATCCTGAATGGAATCCACCAGGATCTTTCTTGATCAGTAGTCATTTGTTCGCCCCTAATTCAGAAGGAGAGACCTCTGTTTTCTAGGTTGTGATGAATATCCCATGTCTGATTTTTTTTTTTAAGACTGCACATGGTCCGCCTGATGCTGTTGGAGAGGCTGCTGCAGACCTTGCCCCAGCTGCGCAGTGTAGGTGGTGTCCGAGCCATCCCATATATGCAGGTACCTATCAGGTCATCCTGGAGCCGATTACTGTGTGTGGGTAGGCCATGATCATGCACCCTTCCTTTCTCCTCTTGCTACATGACCCCTGGATCTGGTGTAGTGTCAGGGTTATAGGATATTGGAACTGGAGGGGACTATGGAGATTGTCTAGATTAACTCCTTCGTTTGCAATACGTGAAGAAACTACGACCCAGAAAAGTGAAATAAATTACCTAGGGTCATATGAGCGGTTAGCAAAAGAGCGTTGAATAAGATCAGGCTCTTATGGCCAAAGCCCTAGTTCCTGCCCCACCCCCTTTCTCCTCATCTGTAGTAGAGGTGTCCTGTCTGAAGAACAGGTCTGAGCACACCATCCCTGTACTTAATAAACTCCAGTGGCTCTCTAGAATTCCCCCATCCTTCTTCCAGAATCTTTTTTTTTTTCTGCTTCTTGGTGAGACAATCAGGGTTAAGTGACTTGCCCAGGGTCACTCAGCTAGTAAGTGTAAAGTGTCTGAGGTCCATTTGAACTCAGGTCCTCCTGACTCCAAGGCCAGAGCTCTGTCCACTACTCCACCCAGGTGCGCCCCCCCCCCCCCCCCCCCCATCCTTTTTGTGCATCACTCCCCTCTACACATTCTGCAGTCTCCTGCTTCTCACACTTGATCCTATCGTTTCCCTTCCACACTGGCAGTCTCTCACCCCTGCAATGCCGTCCCTCCTCACTGTGGCCTCTTAGGATCTGGTGCTTTTTTCAGGGCTCAGCTCAAGCCTTACCTTCCATGTTGGGTGTCAGACTCAATGTGCAGCCTGGGGCATCTGTTTCTGTTGGAGTGTGATACCACTGTTTGACACATGCCTTCCCTGGTCACTCACTTCTGCCCTGCCCCTACTCTTGGTGCCTTACTTCTCAAAATTACTTAGTGTCTGTATTTATGTACTTTACAGCCTTATGCACGTGTCTCCCCCAATGGATTGTAAGCTGCTGGAGGACAGGGACTGTTTGGTTTTTTGTCTTTGTATCCCTAGCACCTAGCACTGTCCTTGGCATATTAGACACTTAATAAATGTTTCTTGATTGATTGATTGATTGATTGATTGACTCTTTGTATGGTGATCTTCTGTCCATAACATAATAATGACGATGATGATGATGGTGATGATAAGAGGTAACATTTATAGTGCTTTAAGGTTTACAAAGTACTTTATAACTATTATCTCATTTGATCCTCATAACAACACTGTGAAGTAGGTACTATGGGTATTATTATCCCCATTTTACAGATGAGGAAACTGAGGCTCAGAGGTGTTAAGTGACTTGCCCATGGTTACACAGCTAGTAAGTGTCAGGGTTGGGATTCAAACCCAGATCTTTCCTGATTCCAAGTCCAGCATTCTTTCCATTTTGCCACATAGCCTCTTATTCCATTATGGCCTGATAGTTCCACTTGTGCTCTATTTCTGTTGGGAGATTATTCCCTTGGTTTCCTCTCTCAGAGCTGAAGTCTCAGCCCCTTGACTTACCCATCTATATCAAATGGGGGTAATAATCCCGACTCCCCTGTCCCAGCCCATTTTGTAGGGGTGCTGTGTGGATGAATGAAACGTAGTTCTTATCAGTAGAGGAAACTAGGAGATTAGGACTAACCTTGCCCTTTGACATACCCTGTATTCAGAGCCTTTATTCTGTGAGAGCCCAGATTTTATCCTTCGCCTCTCTGCTGCTTTCTAGGTCATTCTGATGCTCACGACCGACCTGGATGGAGAAGACGAGAAGGATAAGGGTGCTTTGGACAACTTGCTGTCTCAGCTTATTGCAGAATTGGGCATGGACAAGAAGGTGAATCCTGAGAGTCAGCCAGGCAGTCTGGAGGGCAACTTGAATCTTTCTTTTCTGTTCCTCGGGCCTCTCTCTGGGGACTGAAGGATTGACAGAGATTCTACTTCATTCTATCATTTCTTATGTCAGAGCAGTTCCTGTAGGGCCTGCTTATTGAATTCCGCAGTGCATTACTCATTTCATGTGGCGTCTTAGCTATCTTCAGCTCTGGTGCTGTATCTGGATGCTGTGTTTCCCATTAACACATGGGGCATGTTCTTTCCCTGAGTCATCAACATGAGACCTTTTAGTTGTGATGTGTTTAGCACGGTCTTACCTCAGGAGTTGAATGGTAGATTTCAGGGCTTTCCCATGCACGTGGTGGTATTCTTCTTACAGGATGTTTCTAAGAAGAATGAACGCTGTGCCCTGAATGAGGTCCATCTGGTGGTGATGAGGTTGTTGAGCGTCTTCATGTCCAGGACCAAGTCAGGGTCCAAGTCCTCCATCTGTGAGGTAAGCTTGGCCTTGGGCTTCTTGAGCATAGGCTGGGTGGGGTGACACATGTCATTGTCTGGAGTAGTCATCAGGAAAATATTTCAAAAGCACCTGCTTCTGCCTATTGGTCCTTTCAGCCCTTACCTCTGTTTGAAGAGAGGTGAGGGCTTCATCTTTCTTAAGGAACCCTTCCAGACCCCCTAGTTCTCCCAGCGGTCATTCATTGGAAAGGTTAAAGGGTATTGGCAGGTCCATTTTGAGGAAGCAAAGGACTATTTTGCCCAGTCCATAACAGCTAAGCAGATTCTCTTGCTGTTTGTTGTTAGAAGTTCAGCAGTAGAGCAGAGACAAAGTCACATGTGCAGGCTGTGTGTGTGTGTGTGTGTGTGGGTACTGGAAAGGAGATTAACACAAAGCTGAGAGGTTAGAAATTGAGGCTGAACTGCGTCCAAATTTAATGAGCTTATGAGCTGTGGGGTTTGTTGGGATTTGCAAGGCTCTCCTAATGGTTTTATTTACAGTAGCTTTTTCTTTCCCTCTTGTCATTCATTTGAGCTTCTGATCTCAGCCTTCTCCAGAAGCTGGTCCAGTTGCAGGACCCCCTGGGAAAGGTGGGGCGCTGGGGCCTGCTCACTCCTCTCTCGAACGGGGCCCCTCCCCCTAGCTCCCTGGGAAGAAGTGGAGCCCTCCTACCTCAGTGGAGAAAGAGTCCTGCACTGTGTAGTCCACAGCTCCCTGGCTTGTGGCACACGTGTGTAAGAAAGATCAGACTTAAAGGAAAGATATTTCTTCACCACATGGTTAGTCAGAAGAGTTCTGAAAAACATCTGTACTAGTGGGGAAACCGCTGCCCCTTTTTGCCATCGCCCTTAACCCCTTTTGCCTCATAGCTCTGCAGATGCTAATCCTCTCCTTGCTTCACAGGTAGCTTCCTAGGGTATGTGTAACCCTTCTCTGCTTTCCCTTCAGTCGTCATCCCTCATCTCTAGTGCCACGGCAGCAGCGCTGCTGAGCTCTGGGGCTGTAGATTACTGCCTGCATGTGCTCAAGTCTCTGCTGGACTACTGGAAGAGCCAGCAGAATGACGAGGAGCCTGTGGCTGCCAGCCAGCTGCTGAAACCCCACACCACCTCCTCCCCACCTGACATGAGCCCCTTCTTCCTCCGTCAGTATGTGAAGGTAAAGGACACCTCCCCTGCTCCCCTCCATTTCCTCTCATCTCCTCTCATCTCTGTTCACCTGCCCAGCCTTCATTCCTGAGCACATTGACCTAGAGCAGCTCCTTCCTCTACTGCAGGCCTGTGTGTCCTCATCTGTGAAAAGAAGAGCATTTCATCTCACTCGTACACATATGGGTGGTCAGAGAAAGAATGTTCTTAGGATTTTGGAGTGAAAAGTGCCTCCCGAAGATTGTTTCATACACTTCTCTCATTTTACAGATGAGGAATGAGGCCCAGAGAAAAAAAGGTCACACAGGTAGTCACAGCAGAGCTGGGATTTAAACACAAGTCTTCTGACTCCAAATCCAGTGCTCTGTAAGGTCACTTAAAACTCTTTAGGGAGAAGAGCCCTTTATAGCCACAGTCAGTGTTTCAGTTGCGATTCCTGTGCTTCCAGCTGCATGGAAGGTGCACATACTTTAACACACAACGTAGAATTGGTTAGACTAGCATCGACCTTTACTGCTTGCTGTGGTCCTTTTAATGATCTTTAAGTGAAATACAGGTGATGAAATGTAATATCCTCAGATTCCTTCTAGGCAGGCCTCAACAGCCTGTGTGGCCCAAACTCTCTTTTCCCAAAGTGGCCTAACTGTGCACTTGAACAGAGAGCGGCAGCAGCAATCAGCTAGTATTTAAGGAGCACTTTAAGATTTACACAGCTTTACAAATATTAGTTTATTTGATCCTCCCCACAACTTTGGGAGGTAGGTGCTTTTATCACTCCCATTTTACAGATGAGGAAGCTGAGGCAAACAGAAGTGAAGTGATTTGCCCAGGTTCATGCTGAGGCTGGATTTGAACTTGGGTCTTTTGACTCCAGATCCAGCACCCTGTCCACTGTGCTGCCCAGCTTTCATGTTCCTCTCACTACTTCCCTCTCTCTGGGACAGTGCCTGATTTTGTCATTACCTCATGTGATGTGTGCTCAGGAGTCTTGCATATGAGGACAGTGATCATGTGCACTTGGTCTGATTGTGATTCTCTGAGCTATACTAAGGCAAAGGGTGCTTTTCCTGGCATGAGAGAGGCAGCAGGTGGGGCAGGGTGCTTGAGAACCAGGGAGGTTATTCTAGGGAGATGTTCCTTAAATCCTTGGCAACCACCTTCTCTTCAGTGTCTTTGAATTTTGGTGTCTATACACGTACATCGTACCTCATGTCATAAGCAACAGTATGAAATGTTATAGTTCTTTGAGCCAGAAGGACCTGCTTCCTTCCGCTGGGTGTGGGAGCTGAGCTAATTGATTCATTCCCACCTTTGGAAGTCTCCCTCCCTTGAAACTGACTGTAGAATGTTCCACCGTGGGATAAATCAGTACTGTGACCGGGCAGAGCTTTTCTCTTTATGTCCCCGGCATTTTGCACAGTGCATTGCTCATGCACTTAATAAATGCTTTTTCATTCATTCCTACACAAATGCTATCTGCCCAGGGCCATGCAGCGGATGTGTTTGAGGCCTACACACAGCTTCTGACAGAGATGGTACTACGGCTGCCATACCAAATCAAAAAGATTGCGGACACCAATTCTCGTATTCCACCTCCTGTATTTGACCATTCATGGTTTTACTTCCTGTCAGAGGTAAGTGATAGTTTGTAAGGATTGGCCCCATACAATAAAAATTTGTTATTTCAACAATTCCTAAGCCCTTCTGTGATATGGTAGGTGCTGTAGGGAATATTTACAAAGTTCTAGTACACAGCTTATAGGTTAATGTGCAGAGGCACAGGACAGACAAATACAAAGAAGTGTGATGCAATGTAATAGGGGCAAAAGAAAGCCAGACAGAGCTCCAGGAGAAATCTGAGGACAAATAGATCACTTATTAGGGGCATCATGAAGTGGTTGTTAGAGGAGGTGGCATCTGATTATTTTATTCAGGGATGTGGTGAAGCGTGCCACCCCCTATTCAGGATAAAGGGTTCTCTGAGTCTCTGACCTAGTAGGTGGTAAGATCTGTGTTCAAGATTACCATTCAGCAGAAGCTATCTTCTTTAATTCCTAGTCCTTCTATGTCAACTTCCCCCGTATTTAGCTGTGATAGCCTCAAATTTAATGAGAGGAAAGGAGAGTTGCTACCTAGCTTCTAGTGATCATGTCCCATTTAATAACCATGCCTTCACAACCTTGTTGGCTTTTTTTTTTTTTTGCTAGGGAAGAGATCCTGGCATTTCCCTTCTGACTTCTTTTGAGTTTGTAGAGACTGACCCTAGCTTTTAAGTCCCTGAACTCATCATGGAGCAGGAAGGATACTGGGATTGCTTTTTCATTCATCTGGTTTCCTTCTTTCCATGCTGTGTCTCAGTCCTCTACCATTGAGGTGAGCTTGATAAAGAGCAGAGCAGTGATCCTACAAGTTTCTAGGACCTCCTCACTTTTTGTGAGCTGGTAAAAAAAATCAGCCAACATTTACCTATTGTTGGCTCAGTCCTGGGAGAGGTACCATTTTTCGTGAATGATAGGAGCATTGACAGCTATAATACACAGTATCATTGACAGTTGCATTGAAAGGTAAGTAAGATATGTGCTGAGGGAGATAAGAAGAAGAAGCTGATGACCTTAGGGGATAGCTGGAGAAGGATCCCTGGGAGAGGTGGTGTTTGAAATTGGTTTAAATGCTTCTGTAGGAGCTGAGTGGAATAGGGATGGGATCTTTGGTTTTATTGATAGAGGGAACTTCCATGTGAGAGAACTCCCTCTACTGTGCAGGTTGACACCTTCTCTCTGGAGAAGAGTTGCCTAGAATAATGAGAGGCCAAGTGACTTGCCATAGCTAGAAATGTCAGTACTTGAACGCAGGTCTTGTGAACTGGCTCTCTAGTCATTATGCCAGCCTGTCTGTAGGAGCTTAATACGTAAAATATTTGGCAAGGTTTTGGCCAATCCAAACCAGATGTGGAGAATAATGTCCAAAAAAGCATGGATGTGTGCACGCAGTACATGGTTTAAGGCAGAAGGATATACACTTTGGCTGAAGTCATGAGAACACATAGAGAGAAATAATGTGAGAAAAGACTCGAAATGTAAGAAAAGGTTTTGGAGGACCTTGTATGCCAAGTAAAGAAGTTTGAATGGTGCTCGAGAGGTAATAGGCATTAGGTCAAGAATTTTGAGTAGAAGAGGGTAATAAATGCAATGGATTGGAGAGAAAGCGAGTGGAGGTGGGAAGACCTATTAATAGGCCAAGCCTATGTGAATGATCACCAACAGAAAGCTAGTGGAGAGGAGAGTACAGTTTCTGGTTATACAGGGACTGTGGACTCAGCCCTGGAATGTTCATGTTCATTTATTGCTTTCCCAAGTACCTGATGATCCAGCAGACACCATTTGTACGTCGCCAAGTCCGCAAACTTTTGCTGTTCATCTGTGGCTCAAAGGAGAAGTACCGCCAGCTTCGGGACTTGCATACCCTAGATTCCCACGTGCGCGGCATCAAAAAGCTGCTGGAGGAGCAGGGAATCTTCCTTCGAGCAAGTGTGGTCACAGCCAGCTCGGGCTCAGCCCTGCAGTATGACACACTCATCAGCCTGGTACAAAGGGCAGCTCCCATGGGGGTGGGAGGTGGGGGTGCAGTGGGACACAGCCTCACGCGGATCAGGCGTGGACTGGAGACAAGTGTTTAAGCATTGGGAGCATCATGTGACAGGGGCTGGCTAAGGTAGGAGTTGATCCTCAGATTCCACTACATGAATAACACCCATCCAAACAACAGCACAAGGTGCGTCTTCATAGCACTTGAAGGCTTCCAGAGCCTCAAGGGAAAGAACTCTAGTAATGTCTTCGTCTTAGAGCTTAGGAAATCCAAGGGATAAAGGAAACCTGCCCTTGGCCACATACTCTGAAAGGGTCAGAGCCAGAATTGGAACTGGGTTCTCTCTCTCTCTTTTTTTTTTTTTTGTTGTGAGGCAGTTGGGGTTAAGTGACTTGTGCAGAGTTGCACAGCTAGTGAGCGTTATGTGTCTGAGGCCGGTTTTGAACTCAGGTCCTCCTGACTCCAGGGCCGGTGCTCTATCCATTGCACCACCCGTCTGCCCAAGGAACTGTGTTCTCTTGATTATTACAAGGCCAACACCTTACTAGGCTGCAATCCAAACTGATGGCTGCACAGTCTGGAAGGAGTTTTGTCATATGTTGGATAATTATATTTGGAGTTTTGGTAACTTGAGCATTTCTATTACATAATCTGGAACACAAACCTTAGCCACCTATCTATGGGAACTGGATGTCCCCAATTCTTTATTTAAGAACAGTTAAGATGGGATGAATGGGATACACATAAGTTAATGACCAAAGAGACTATTTGGACTTAGGAAAATGGAATTGAGTATATCCCATGTGAACAGCTAGATAGAAAGCCTCTTTCACTAATGATTCCCAGAGGATTCTCTGAGCTCCTTGGTTGCTATCCTTGGCCCCAAGACAAGCATAAGCTGATATCTTGTTTTGGAGTTCTTTTCCTCCCTCTTCCTTTGCCTCAAGAGGTGACCTGGCCTGGCTGCTTCCTTGTTGAGAAAGGGACAGTTCCCTGAAAACTGAGGGTGCTTGTGTAGCCTGGAAAATGAGAAGGATCACATCCTACAGAAGTCAGCTCCAGCAGTCAGGCACTTCAGGCATTATTGCCTGTATAAGGCATGATGCCCATTGGTGCTAGAGCACAGGATTGGGATCTTTGCACTTAGGGCAATGACCTTGCTTGTGTTCTGAGCTGCTCACTTAGGTCACTCATCTCTGGGGATTGGTTCTTCTTTCAGATGGAGCACCTCAAAGCTTGTGCAGAGATTGCCACCCAGCGCACCGTCAACTGGCAGAAATTCTGTATTAAAGATGACTGTAAGTTGCCGCACTTCTCCTGGCCTGCCATCATCTCCACAAACTAGAGAGAATTTTGGTCCATATCACATCATATAGTATTTCTCAACAATTTTTTTAGTGAAAGTGATTTCCTTGTAGTAGCATATAGTAGAGGAAACTTGGAAATGAATGTTGGTTAAATTAGACATTGAGGTCAATCTTGGCTAATGATGAAGTCATTATAGTTCCTACTACTTTGCAGTCTCAGGCCAGGTAGATCTGATGTAGGTTTAATTTTGTTGATTTCCTTTCCTCTCATCTCTTTTTGCAGCGGTCCTGTATTTCCTGCTCCAAGTTAGTTTCCTAGTGGACGAGGGAGTGTCCCCGGTGCTGTTGCAGCTGCTCTCCTGTGCTTTGTGTGGCAGCAAAGTGCTCACTGTGGCTTCTTCATCCGGATCCTCAAGTGCCGCCTCCGGCTCTTCCTCCTCCTCCTCATCCTCAGCACCTGTGGCTTCTGGTTCTGGGCAAACGACAACCCAGAGCAAGTCATCCACCAAAAAGAGCAAAAAGGAAGAAAAGGAGAAAGAGAAGGAGGGTAAGAGCCACCTTCCATAGGTCAGAAGCTTCGTTTATTTGTTTGTATTCAGGGTCTTGGCCACTGCCTACCCTTTGAACTTTGAATTCTGGTTTGTAGCACCCTACATACTTCAGTGCTTTTTGGCATCGGGTTGAGGTCCTTAATATGGCATTATTTCTCAAATTTAAAGGCCACATGTTAAATTGTGTCACTTGCTGTGCCCTAATTCTCCCCATCAGCAAGATTCAAAGCCTGGTTTTGAGCTGCCTTCCAGTGACTCATGAAGGCTCAAGACCAATGATAAGGGTGAGGGTGTTGGAGATGTTGCCCTTGCTCAGAGGCCAGGAGACTTAGCCTTCACTAACTCACTGTGTGACCTTGGGTAGCTTACTTGACTTGTGTGCCTTGTGTCAAGTGAGGGATCTGTACTTGCAGATCTCTGCTGTCCTTTCCTCCTTCACGGTTACATGGTTTTGTGCCTGGGGAGTGCTGTTGCTAACCAGGACTGGAGACGTGTGGCTCCCATCTTTGCAAACACATGCCCTGAGGACTCCCACCTCATTCAGGCCCTGTACTGTGCATGTGGCCACTGCAGGCTATAGGGTCAGCATGTTTAGCATGCTATAGTGGAGAGAGTTTTGGATCTGGTGTCAGGAGAGCTCAGAGTTCAAATCTTAGCTCTGCTGCTTACTGTTGGGGTAACCTTGAGCAAGTCCCTTTGCATTCCTGGACCTCCATTTCCTTATTCATAAAATGAGGGGGTTGAACTAAATATTCTCTGAGGTCCTTTTTAGCTCTAAAGCCTATGCTACAGTTTATGTACTTGTTCAGATGTCTGTGTTTTCACATCCATCTGTCCTGGTGTTGTTGGAGCCTAAACTCTGAGAGGAGGATGAACTGTTTCATTTGGTATGTACAGTGTAATCACAGAACAGGGAGGTGATGCCTGCTTTTTTGGCATATTCTTATATGACTTCATCCTAGCACCATTCTCTAGCAAACATCTTAAGCTCTTTTTTTCCAGACAAGTTTTTGAATTGTAGATGCTTGGTTAGCCTTATCAGGGAAAGAACAAAATAGAAATCACAAGTCTGAAGAAGGTTCCTCAGGTTCCTAAGTGTTTTTGCCTCTCTTTGCAGGTGAGTGCTCGGGCAGTCAAGAAGACCAGCTGTGCACGGCCTTGGTGAACCAGCTGAACAAATTTGCTGACAAGGAGACCTTGATACAATTTCTTCGCTGCTTCCTACTAGAATCGAACTCCTCTTCTGTGCGCTGGCAAGCCCATTGCCTGGCACTGCACATATACAGGTAGGGACCATGATAGGGCTGTGCTCTTCCTAGCTCGGGCCCGTTTACCTGGACTGTCTGAGGAGGATCATAATATCTCAGAGCTGGACAGATCCTCAGTGGTCATCCATCACTTTACCTGATCAAGAGTCTTTTCTACAGTGTACCCAGCTATTGGTCATTGAGGCTTTGCTTGAAAGCTTCTAGCCTGGTAGAACAGGCTTGGGCAGCATTGATTGTTAGGAAGGTTGTTCCTTTATGGGCCCAAATCTGCCTCTCTCTTACTTGTAGTTCTCTTCTCTGAAGCCGAGCAAAATAATTCTAATTGAGCGTAGTAGAAGGAGTCAGAAGACTTGAGTTCAGCTGCCTGGCCCACCATTGTGGGAACTTGGGCAGTCCCTTCTCCTGTCTAGCCTTGGTTTCCTTATCAGTCAAATGAAGGGATTGGACAAAAGTGCACTAATCTCTTTTCTAGCTCAAAAACTATCCCTTCGGATATTTATGAATGGCTGTCGCGCACCATCTTGTTGCTCCTCTTCTGGATGTCAGCTTGTTAATGTCCTTCCCAAAATGTATTCAGAATAAAACACAGTATTCCAAATGCATTCTGACCAGGCCAGAATAAAGGAACATTTATATCTCCCCTCATTCTGGATTCTCTACCTCTGATCTTCAGCTTAAGATCACATTGGCTTTTTTGGTTGCCCCATCATCTGCTGAATCAGACTAAACCATCCCGTGGTGTTTTGCCACATCTGGCCACATCTCTCCCATCTGTTACTTCTGTAGTTAGTTTTCTAAACTCAAGCATGGGCTTTTGCTTTTATCGCCTTTCTGTTGCATATTATTAAATGGGGCTTCTTCTGCCAGCCTTTTGAGATCACGATGTATTGGCTAATCCCTCCCATTTTAGGATGTACAAACATTTGCCAAGTATGTCATCTGTCATCATTGATAAAAAATGCTGAACAAAGTAGGGTTAAGGACCTAGCCCAGCAGCACTCTGCTAGAGACCTCCTTTCAGAGATTGAATATGTTCCTTTAATTGTTTGTCATTAATTAACATGTGATTGCTATCATAAAGTCCATATCTCTCCATTTTTCTCCTAGCCTGTCATGAGAAACATTAAAATGTTTTGCTAAAATCCAGGTACACTTAGTCTCCAGTATGCCCCTGGTTTAGTAGACTAGTAAGCCCTTGCAATAAAGAAGTGAGGTTCTGATCTGTTCTTTTTTTTTTTTTTTTTTTTTTTTGTGGGGGGGAGGCATTTGTGGTTAAGTGACTTGCCCAGAGTCACACAGCTACTAGGTGTTATGTGTCTGAGATTGGATTTGAACTCGGGTCCTCCTGACTCCAGGGCCAGTGCTCTGTCCACTGTACCACCTAGCTGCCCCCGATCTGTTCTTAATGACTCCATACTGTGTCAGTGATCACTCTCTAAGTGCTGATAAACTATCCCTTAGATATAGTATGTTTAAAGATCTTACCAGGAATTCAAGTGATATTCCTTATTCATTCCAAGTCTCCTTTCCCCCCTTTTTTTGAAAGTCAGGACATTTGTCTTCCTTTAGCCATGTAGTTCCTCTGCACAATTTCTCAAAGATCAATAGGGTTCAACAATCACCCCTGGAAGTTCTTTAAATTCTGAGATGTGGTTCTTCTGGATCTGGTGTGTGATGGCTGGGGCCTGTTGAAGACATCCACATATTTTCTTTCCTTGGGTTTCAATTTCTTGTTACCATTTTCATTCTGTCTTTCCCAGTCTAAAGATCCTTCTCCTTGGTAAAGAAAACAGAAGCAAAGCAGGAGCTGAGTAGCTTTGCCTTTCTGTAGCCCAGGTAGATCACTTCCTATATCATTCTGTCTTCTTTTGCCTCTGCAGGCTGGTTCTCCACACCTGGACACTTTGCTCTCCTTCACTCCACTTGTTCAAATCCTTTTACATTTTACTACAGTTACCCTAATAGCTGACATGTAGATAGGAATTGAAGGTTTGCAAAGTATGTTAGATTCATTATCTTGTTTGAGCATCTTAACAACTCTGAGGTAGGCACTGTTATTTTCCTGATTTCATAGTTAAGGAAACTGAGGCTGTGAGAGGTTAAGTGATTTGCCTAGTGACACATAGCCTAGTAAGATACAAGATGTGATTTGAACCCAATTCTCTCCAACCCTAGGTCTAGCACATTCTACTATGTCATGCTATTTCAAGGTTCAGCTCATATGTCTTGTCTTTCTTGAAGCCTTCCACAGTCAGCTCAGCTTAAAGTAGTCTCTCCTCACATTCTCGTAGGGTGCTTTCTGTGTCTGTTTTTCCTCCTGACACTGTAAATAATTTGTCTGCTTCTTGTGTGTGGTGTATCCCCTCTTGGAAAATATACACTCCTTGCGTGTAGGGACTATATAGAGTCTTATGTGTGTGTCCCCTATACTTAGCGTTGTGTCTTGTACATAGTAGGCACTTAGTAAAAGTTAGTGGAATTGGTTGTTTTTGAAACACCTGAATAGGTAAAACCTGGAGCTTCCTTTGGCTCAGTAACCTGAGTTGTCATTTGTCCACAGAAACTCCAACAAATCGCAGCAGGAACTCCTACTGGACTTGATGTGGTCCATCTGGCCAGAACTCCCAGCCTATGGCCGCAAGGCTGCCCAGTTTGTAGACCTGCTGGGATATTTCTCTTTGAAAACCCCACAGACTGAGAAAAAGGTAACATCATGACTCTAGACCTCAAGAAGACAAAACTCTGCTTCATTTCTCTTCTACTCAGGGTGGGGCATTGTTTTACTCTTTTGCTGAGGGCATTATATCTAATTCCTAGAAAGGAAGCCCATATTGAAGATCACTTTAACACATTTGATCATTTTTATATTATTGTAATATATATTAGTATAGTATTAAATGCTCCCAGCATTTTTTATGTAGAGGCTGTACGTGACAGATAGACCCAATCTTAGACTTTTAAGCACAGGTGTATGAAATAGGAGTGGCAGATAAGTTACATTAAGGTTACTTGGCATAGAGCAAGTAGAGCCAGTTCTTATCTTGTTTGAAAAAACGTATGCTTAGACACTTATAAATATTTCCCCACTGGTTACAATAGTTGGCTCATTGTTGCCCAGCTTTTCTGCAGGAACCAGAGATAATTCCCAGAGTAGAGACTAGAATGCTAAGGAGGCTCTCAAGCTAAACTTGTCATTAGGACCAGAAGGAATTGTTAACAAGTGAAATAACCAGGAATTAGCCCTACTTCCCTTAGTTCCCCTAGCACCAGGCCTGAAATACCTTAGAATTACTATTAGGCCAGCTCTGAGTGGGAAAAACAAAAAAGAGTTTTCTTCCATTTAGACTTTAGTTTGTATACTAGGATCATTTCTTAACTTGTGTTTCAGTTGAAAGAATATTCGCAGAAGGCTGTAGAAATTCTCCGAACCCAAAACCATATTCTTACCAATCATCCCAACTCCAACATCTACAAGTAAGTTTGTCTTGCTTCCTGCCTCTTGGGAGAGCAGTTTACGTGAAAGTATACTTAAAGTTTCCGCCAAATATTAGGGGGTGAAATAGTTGGTGGGCAGAGCTTAGACAACGGATCAGAGGCCCTTAATCTTAGGGAGATTTCAGACAACACAATAATAAATGAGATGAGTATATATTTATGTTAATAACAGCGAGGAAAGGTGTGTCACAATCATCATTTGGGCTTTGAATAGGCATTTTCTTTATTAAACCTTGAAGATTCCCAAGGAAAGTGAGATCTAGAGTTATCCTTTGAAATTTTGGAACTAGTCATGTCTTTAAGGAAGGGTGGGTTTGATTTACCACCAAATCTCATGTGAAATCTGACGTAGCTAGAAGAACCTCAGAACTTAGAATAGTTTTGGATTACTGTGAAGAAAGTAATTTAGATGTTAATGACAGTTACTGCATCATCACCATACAGTCAGATTTTGTATAAAATAGCATCAGTTCCTTGTGCCTAGAAAAGTGAAAGCAATTGGGTTTGCATCCCAGGAGATGTATCCTATAATAGTGCTTCTTTTCTATGGAAAGGCACTATCTTCTGAATTAGATTGGAAGTTTCTTCCTATGACATCCAGACCTTAGGAGAAGGAACTTCTCGTCTTCCTGTGTGCCCTTAGGAACACAGGGCTATGAACAGGGCTGTTGATTCAAGACATTTTTAATAATTCCTTTGAGAAGCTCAGCAATCCTAGAGATGATTTCCTCATGTCTGGCCTGGTTTCTTTCCTAGCACTCTGTCCGGTTTGGTGGAGTTTGATGGTTATTACCTAGAGAGTGATCCCTGCTTGGTGTGTAACAACCCGGAAGTGCCATTCTGTGTAAGTGATGGGCTCTACCACGGAGGACCCTATGGTGTTTGTTGTGTTCTTAGAAAGTGGTGACTGTAGAATAGGTTATTATTCCAATTCTCATAAGAAAATGGAAGGAATATGTACCCAGACTACAGAACACAGTTCATAACTTCTATTTTTGCAATGCTTATGGTTCATGATGAATTTTCCTTATAGCAGCTTTATGGGGTGGGTGATGCAAATATCCCCATTTGCAAATAAGGAAACTGAGGTATAGATGTGAAATGATTTACCCAAATTTACACAGCCAGTAAAAGCCTAGATTAGAACTCAAGTCTCCTATCTTCAAGTCTAGTGTTTGTTTCACTACCCCACAATACCTTTAATGAATTTGTAATCTGACATATTCATGGACTGTTTGGGAATAGCTTTAGGAGGAAACTGGGTCACCCATTATCGTCCTAATCGCCTCACATTCTCTATTTTTAGTATATCAAGCTCTCCTCCATCAAAGTGGATACCCGTTACACCACCACTCAGCAGGTAGTGAAGCTCATTGGCAGCCATACCATCAGCAAAGTGACAGTGAAGATTGGTGACCTGAAGCGCACCAAGATGGTGCGAACCATTAATCTATATTACAACAACCGAACAGTGCAGGCCATCGTGGAGCTGAAAAATAAGTATGAAGTTTCAGGTTTGGAAAGAGGCTGGGGGATGTGATAGGTCTGGGAGGCCCACTTAAAGGTTCTGACTTTGATTCCAGGGATCAACCCCCCTCCCCAACTCTTTTTTGAGCTTTCCAGCTGTTTTGACCAGGCAGTGAGAACTAGAGGGACATGGATGGCGTGCTCAGATCTTGAAAAAAGCAGGCCTCCCATTGTGGTTTGTCAAGGGCCAGCCTTCTACAAATTCCTATCCCTTGGAAGATATATCAGTAGATTCCTCTCCTCATTTCCTCTTGACTTTCTGTCTTTTAATGGTATATATGAAAACCCGATTTGGGAGGCGAATGATTTGTAGAACAGGTTGCCAAGAGGAATGGCCACTTTGTTGACTTCATGGAGCATTCTGCTCTCATTTCAACACTGTAGTTCTTTTGTACAACAGTAAGAGGTCTTCTCCCAGAATTTGTCCATTATAGATCGCTTCAATTTCTGCCTAAACTTTTCCTACTCTATCTCATGTCATGTAACACAGACTTGGGCATTCCTGCATCTATTTGAGTTTAGATTCAGGGCAGTGTAAGTTGAGTCAGGAGGAGCACAAATGAAAGAGTTGTGAGGAGAGGCAGGAGTTGTGGATTTTATGGAATTGGATGTTTTTCTGGTGAGGTATCAGGCTGTGGCTTAGGCCCAGAGCCCAGGAAGGTCCCACATTGTTAACAGTGAGCATGGCCTGGGAGGTGAGCTAACTTGAAAAGCCTCACAAAGAACCCAGGTTGGTTTGAGGAAGTTATCTAGTGACAGAGTTCCTCATTCCTACCTGAGCCTGCTCATATGGAAAGCACTGACTTTATAAAGGGATGTGCTGCCACCCTGCTTGTTGAGCTGCTGACAGTGATGGGCAGGAGGAGAAGAGAGGGTGGGTCACATTGCCTCAGAAGGATGTTCTTGGGAACCAGGCTCAGAGATATTTCCTTTAACTCTTGATACCAAAAGGCAACACTGGTGGCCTGAGGGCAGAAATTCACAGTTTTTTGAAGCTGTTGCTCAAGATAGCTGGTGTAATTTTCTGTTCTGTTGGGGAATGGGGTGGGCATGTGGGAGTGGTGGAGTTATTTTTTTTTTAATTGGGTTTATTTTTGATACTATTCTTGGCACTTGGCCTAGATTCCAGGCCATATTTCTCAGCTTCCCTAAAGCAGTTTAGCTATGGCCCTCCAAAGTGAGTGTCCTAATGGGGGCTGAGAGAAACAGTCAGTTGGGAGCAGTTACCTTCTTAGTATCATGGAACCTCAGAGGGTCATCTGGTCCCATCCATTGTATTAGATATACCTCTTGAGGTTTTCTGTTTCAGCGTCACTTACTTTGAGGTGTCGTATTTCTTTAGTGTCTGTGAGTGGTCAAGTGTCACATTCCTGTTGGTTTTCTTGGAAATTAACCTTGTAAATAAGTACAAGGTCTGTTATACACACACATCCCTTGACTGTCTCACCTTTTTCTCTGGGGTAAAGCTGTTAGTAAAATGAATGAATCAACTGTCTACTAATTCTTCCCCTTTAATTACTTATCTTGGAATAATTACCTAAGCACTTGTGAGTTTTTTCCCCTTGTCTCTTGATAGCACTAGAGGTGAGAGGTCTTGGTTTCCTTTGCTGCAGACCTTTAACCAGAACTCCTGTTCCCTAGGCCAGCTCGTTGGCACAAAGCCAAGAAGGTACAGTTGACCCCAGGGCAGACAGAGGTGAAGATTGACCTGCCATTGCCCATTGTGGCCTCTAATCTGATGATCGAGTTTGCAGACTTCTATGAAAACTACCAGGCTTCCACAGAGACCCTGCAATGCCCGCGATGCAGTGCCTCTGTTCCTGCTAACCCTGGGGTCTGTGGCAACTGTGGGGAGAATGTCTACCAGTGTCATAAATGCAGGTGAGAGAGACAGAGAGAGAGAGAGAATGTGTGTGTGTGTGTGTGTGTGTGTAGGAAGGGTCCATGGGACAGTGTAGAGTCTGGGTATATCCAGTGATTTGAACTCTTTCCTTAATGCCTGCCTTCAGATTTCAGGTTGTTGTCAGTTAGTGGGATTATGGGAACTCAGAGTGGGCCCAGCAGAAGACCAAAATGGTGTGCCTCAGTGGTATCAAACTCAGATAGAAATGAGGACCACCAAACCACGCATAAGTATCCCTGCAGGCTGCTTATTGATTTAGAAAACCTCATATTAACATTATCTAAGGTTTATTGCACATTTGTTTTGTTAAACATTTCCCAGTTCCATTTTAATGTGGTCTGGGCAGCAAATGCGGGCTGTGTGATTGACACCTCTGGTGTATTCCATCTCAGTCAAATTCACAAATATGTCGAGGATCTTCCATATTGCTGGAGTCATCTTTACCTTCTAATATCTGATAACTCATCATAGTGGTTGATATTAGAGTTTTGGAAAGTAGATCTGACATGATCCCTGATCTTGAGATTATCCCTCAAACCTCTGCTGCCCCTTTTATCTAATAACTGCCTTGACTTTCTAGGTCCATCAACTATGATGAAAAGGATCCCTTCTTATGCAATGCCTGTGGCTTCTGTAAATATGCTCGTTTTGACTTCATGCTTTATGCCAAGCCCTGCTGTGCTGTGGATCCCATTGAGAATGAAGAAGACCGAAAGAAGGTGAGGATAGGCCCAGACTAAGATCAGTAGTGCCATGTCGTCTTACTTTAGGTGCCGCTGTTGGGGTAAAGGATAATTAGCTTTGTGAGAAGGGGAGAGAGGGGGGAGAAGACTATCAAGGTTTTAAATTTTAATGGATTGAAACAAGTCAGAATAATGACCCATCTAGTTTGATTAGGATTTTTTAAGGGTGGCTTTCAGTAACACAAGAGGTACATCTCATATAGAAGATAACCTGAGGTTTGAAAATTCAGGAACTATATTCGGCCATGCATTTTCAGTAGGGGCACCCTTCTGCTATGTGGGAAGTATGAAACTCTTGACCCTCCCAACATTGGTTGCAATCATAAAGAATGTGTGATTGGATTGTGCAAGTTATGTGAACCCAAGGCCAGAAGGAAATCAAGTTAAGGCAGCAGAGAATAGAGAAACATACTAGAGTAATTTGGAGACGACATTTCAAGGAAGTGAAGATGTAGCTAAAAATATGGTGTTGGAGAATGGGGTTTACTGATCTATGATTTCTGGATCACAGATTATAATATAGGAATGACAGGCTCTTGGCCAAGCATAAAGTGCACTTGATTAGGATTGGTAAGACTGTATTTGCCTGGAGTCTTGTAAATCTAATCAGAAAGACTCTTAACTGAAAAGAAAGGGGCAGGAGAATAATGTCTAGGTATATCCACCAACTGAGGTACCACAGAGAATAACTGTGGGAAGGTTAACAGTGGAGATAGATGGAAGTTCATAGGGGGAAAAAAATGCATGAAAGGAACCAGTGATTAAATCCATGACCTCAGGTCTATATAGAAATGCAAAAAATGTAGGTAGCGGCAAAGATGAACTAGACATACTATTGCAAAAAGGCAAATTTGACCTCAGAAATATCACCATTATGTAGTGAGATGAGACCTGTGACTGAAGTGAGACATTGAAAAGAGATCTATTTCTTATTTGAAAGCACCAAGGAATAGTAAAAGAGGGGTGAGAGTAACAGTGTATATAATAATACTCATATAAAGAGGTGGACGCAAGACCAAGAAGGAGGAAACCTGGTAGAGAACATTTGAGTGTAGATCAACAGAAGCAGTATTGTCTTTGGAGGATACTATAGGCCAAATGGACAGAAGGGAAATAGATGAGTTAAAAGAAAAACAAAAACTAACAAACTTTAAACAGATTATAAGCCTGACTTAGAGGCAGGATATATTAGTAACTTCAATTATCCAGACATCTGTTGGAACTCTCTCTTTCAAAAATAGAGTGGTTAATAATTTCTTGAATTGCTTTAATGATTGGAATAGAAAAACATTTATTAAGCATTTGCTATGTGCCAACACTTTGCTAAGTGCTGGGGATACAGTCTCTTGCTCTCAAGAAGATTACTCTCTAATTGGGGGAGAAAACACATAAAGGATTCAGTTCATGGTAGTTGAAAAGATCAGGTGGTGCTTCAGTTTTGGCAGAGAAAGTGAGTCAGAAGGCAAGGCCCTGAAGATCTTAAAAATGGAGGAACCAACAGATGGAAAAATTCTATCTTGGATCTAATTCTCACCAAAAAACTGGATGTTGGTGTGGTAATGATAGGAACCTTGGGAGAAAATTACCGCTCTATCTTAGAATTTGGATTAGAGAAGAAAAGAGAATGTGGCTATAGTCTGTCATGTACCTTAGATTGTAGAGAAGCAAATTTCAGAGAGTTGAGAATAAAGACGGATAGTCCTGTTATGGCCTAAAATTTATGGGGGTAGTCAGTCCAAGATGGATAAGCACTTAAGAATGCAATTCTGAAGCCACAAAACAACTCCCAGTTACATCGAGGAGGAAAAAAGAAACTTTTATAAAGAGAACATTGTCAAGAATGGGTCATTCCAGAGGAATTTTCTTTCATTTTTTGACTGTCCTCCTTGCTGTTCCATGAAAAAGACCATCTCTTTTGATTCTGGATATTTGGACATTTCCTCTGGCTGCCCTTCATGCCAGGAATGCTCTTCTTCCTCATCTCTGTCTCCTGGCTTCCTTCTAAGTGTCAGCTAAAATCCCATCTCTTACAGAGATTTTCCAGCCCTTCTTAATTCTAGTGTCTTCTGTTAATTATATCCTAGTTATCCATTACCTGTACATATCTATTTGCTTCTTGTATCACCTGTTAGATTGTGAGCTCCTTAAGGTCAGGGATTTTTCTTTTGCCTTTCTGTAGTCCCAGCACATAGCACAGTTTCTGGCACACTGTAGGTGCTTAATGTTTATTGGTTGATTGACAGGACTGATGGACTGATAAATCTGGAAGATGCTCTACATATAGCTTATCTGAATTTTCGTGAAGCATCTGATAAAGTTTCTCATGTTATTTTAATGGAGAAGATGGGGGGACAGTAGCATTGGTGGATTTAGAACTGCTTGGATGACCAACCCTTAATTTATTCATGGTTTGAGGCAGTCTTGTGTGGAGGATTCCCCTGGAGGCCCCTAGTCTGTGCTTGACCTTGGACTGTTGAGCATTTATCAGTGGCTCTGGAAGACTTTCATGGCACACTTATGAGATTGACAGATGACACAAAGCTGGGAAGGAGAACTAACATACTCTAGGACAAAGTAAGAATTCAGGATTTTAGGTCTTGATATACCAAGGACATTGAATCAACTTTAATAAGTTGGAGTTTAATAGAGATAAATGCAAAGTCTTATACAGGATGGGTAAGTGGATTAATGGCCTAAAAACCTTTTCTGGCTGCCATGACTGTGGAAGCCAAGAAAGCAAATACCATTTCAGGTTTCACTCAAAGAGGTAATTTTACGTTCAGGCCAAGGGAGAGGGTGGTCCCATTATATATGCTCTATGTGGTCAGGTTAGATATGGTGTAGGGTGCTCATTTCTGGGCACCGTTTTAGGAAGAATGCCAATTAGTTGGAGAGTGTCCAGAGGCTGGCACCCAGGATGGCATAGTGCCTCTAGTTATGGCCACATGAGGCTTAGTTGAAGAAATGAGGGATATTTAGTCTGTAGAAGATAAGCCTCAGAGGGGAAATGATAGCTGTCTACTAGTGTGTTGGAAAAGCTGTGCTATGGAAGAGGGATTAGATTTGTTCTGCCTGGGCCTAGAGGACAAAGCTTAGGAGCATTAGGTGGAAATTGCCTTAAAGGCAGAATTAAACTTGATTTAAAGAAAAGCTTCCTCCCAATTAGAGCTTTCCAAGAATGGACTGATTTAGGAGGTAGTAGGGTTCCTCTCATCACTAGAGAGCTGTAACTAAAGTCTGGATGACCATTGATAGGTTTGATGACATCCTGTGAATTTGTGTGGAAAAGTTAGACTAGTTCTAACCCAGTCTCTTGTCTCCTCTTATCCCTAGGCTGTGACCAACATCAACACCCTCCTGGATAAAGCTGACCGAGTGTATCACCAGCTAATGGGACACAGGCCGCAGCTGGAAAATCTGCTTTGCAAAGTGAATGAGGCAGCCCCTGAAAAGCCTCAGGTAATGCCCAGCTAAGTTCAGAGGCGTTATAGGGAGGGAAGTGGGGAGGGTTGACGCGTATGCTAAGAGCTCCCAGATTGTATGTTCACAAGGCGGAGAATACTGCTGACTTAACTTCCCTTTCTGGGTTCTAGGATGATTCAGGTAGTGCTGGGGGGATCAGCTCCACGTCAGCCAGTGTAAATCGCTACATCCTACAGTTGGCTCAAGAGTACTGCGGGGACTGTAAGAACTCTTTTGACGAACTCTCCAAGATCATACAGGTAGGAAAACCTAACACCGATGGTATTTAAGCATCCCAGCAGCCCTTCGTGAACCCAAACCCTGGTGTTGCCCTAGACCAAACCATTTAGAAGGATTAGCTCCGGAATACTTGCTCTCCTGTGAGATGACCTTTACCCCCTAGCTTTAGGAGGTGGGGTGTCTCTGCCAGGGAGTGGAGTGAGCACATTGAGGAAGGTAGGTAGTCTGGGGCAGGATGCTTCATGTGGAGTCGGAGGACTGAGGTTCGAATCCTAACTGGAGAGTTTCAAGGGGCTTCAGTGGCTCTCAAGGCCAGTCCTGGCCTGTCCCCAGACAACACCATGAGCAGGTCTCTCCTCCCAGGGCCTCAGTTTCCTTATACTTAAAAATGAAAAAAAATTAAAAGAAAAAATGAGAGAGTGAAACCAAATACAGCTGAGGTCCAGCTCTAATTGATAATCCTTAGAAATCAAGTGTGATGGGGGGGGGTGTCACAGAGATCATATGTTTGAGCACAGAGATTGGTATCCTTCTAGAGCTCTTGGCTTGTCAGTGCCTGCTCCCTAAGCTGGATGGAGCAGCTCACAGTTCATGCATTGGAACACTATTTGCCTAGAGTCTTGTAAATCTCACTGTGTAGACATTCACAAGGGTGGGCCCTGAGTGAGGCCACAGAGTTCAGCTTGTGCCACCTTTGTCATCTCTGCCTTTGTTCCGGCACCTTAGCTTTTCTGTTTGTAAAATCCATCTGTGCCAACAGAACTGGTAATGTAGAAGACATGGATGAATTCTTAGTTATCCAAATCAACAGGGAAGTAGCATAGACCAGTAGATAAAGAGATGGCCTGAGATCCAGGACCACCTGGATTCAAGTCCTGTCTTTGACCCATCCTGTTTGTGTCCTGTATCATGCAGGCTCTCCTTCTTTCCCCAGTTTAGTGTGAGCGTCCCTGGGTTCCACCCCTCAGAACTTGGCTGCTTCCCAGTGTGGACAAGGGCCAGATGTGTTATGGGGAGGGGAAGACCCTCCAGCCAAGCATGTCTGATTGGTTTTCCACCTCTGATGCCCCAGGCAGCAAGACGCCAGTTAGTGAGGCCAGCTGGGAAGCATCTAGCATGAAAGGCTGCAGGAATAAGAAATTCTAGAAAAGGGAAGCAGTGCCACCCAGGAGGGGGTGTGCCTGGAGCAGACAGCTTGTTGCTAGAAATGCTAGACTCCTGCACACACACCCTTCCTCCTCTCCCTCCGCCCCCAATCAAGTTTTTTCAAACTGCTGTTATTTACCCCAAACACTCTAACTGTGTCTTGAGACAGCTTAGGACAACTCTATCCTCCTGCATGGGAAGGCTCTTCACCAGGGAGGCAGAATTAAGAGGCCATTCCCAGCACCAATGCAAAGTTATAATAAACAGCATAATAACATTGGGGAGATGCTGGGAAGGGATGGAAACATTTTTTAGAAGTTAGCTAATCCTTTCGAGGAAAAAGTTTGTTTGCTCCCCTTCTTAGGATGCAGCTGCCAGGCAGGGGAGGAGTTATGCTTAGAGCAGAGGTAGCCTGTCACACTCCAGGTGATCCCCCCTCCCGCCCCCTCTGGAAACTAGAGGGTTTTCTGGGCTGTCACAAACATATTAACAGCCAAGTTTTTCCAGCACCTTACCGGTGCTCTGAGTTATCAGATCCAAGGACTGAAGCCCCTGAAATAGGAGGCCTGGCTAGAGAAAGGCTTCTCAGTTTAGATTTTGAGGTGAATTCCTCTCTGGTGTTATAGTAATTGACTCCTTCTTTCTTCACTCTCCTTTTGACCCCAGAAAGTCTTTGCTTCACGGAAGGAGCTCCTAGAGTATGATTTGCAGCAGAGGGAGGCAGCCACCAAGTCATCAAGGACGACAGTGCAGCCGACATTCACTGCCAGCCAGTACCGAGCCTTATCGGTCCTAGGCTGTGGCCACACCTCCTCCACCAAGTGCTATGGATGTGCCTCCGCAGTCACAGAACACTGCATCACGCTGCTCCGGGCCCTGGCCACAAACCCGGCCTTGCGCCATATCCTTGTCTCACAGGGCCTCATCCGGGAGCTCTTTGATTACAATCTGCGCCGGGGAGCTGCCTCCATGCGGGAGGAAGTCCGCCAACTCATGTGTCTCCTCACCAGGTATGACCCAGCTTATCCTCTTTCTCTTGGGTCTGTTTTGGAGACAGTCATGCTAGCTGTGCAGGAAACACAAAATGGCTGTTTAATGCAGAACATTGCACAGGGCTATGGTCTGGAGTTCAGGTTTGGATTGCATGTAGTCCCTGCTATCATGGAGCTCACAGATTAGTAAGAGAAAACAGAACTATTATGTATACTGTTGTGGGACAAAGGCTTTAGCAAGGTATAAAACAAAGCACTTTTTGAGTGGGCAAGGGGGGGCCCCACTGGGAACCAGGAAAGACTCTGAAGAGAAAATGGCATTTGAGTTGAACTTGAGTGGAAAATAGATTTATCATAGAGATTGACAAGTGGATGAGGTACTTAGGAAAGAATGGTTAAGCGACCTTTGGGAGCTTCTCAGTCTTCTTGATTTGCTACCTTTGAGCAATAGTTTGGTAGAACTAGGTATCCCCAGTGTCTTGTATCTACTAGGTGGGGGTGTATGGTTGTTCAAGAGGACCAGCACCTCTGATGGGAGGGCTGCTGAGCCCTTTGCAAGGCTGCTCATCCACTGTGGGTGTCCACGCAATCCACCCTACTGTCTCCTGTGACTCCAGGAAGTTATGGCGTGTGCAATGGCCATACCCCACTAGAACTTAACCCACTTAGCAGATGGGTTAAATGAGGTTGAGGGTAACCAGCAGGCCTCAAACCTGTTAGTGAGTTAGGGGGGTGTCTGCCCTAAGCATGTGAAGACTTCTCCCAGTAAAATTGGTGGATGAGAACAATTTGTTCCAGTGGCCATGAAGGTGGCAGAAGCAGGTGCTGTGGAGTGATCTGAGCTTAGTCATATGTCAAAGGTGCCATGGTCGTTCACCGCATCCCAGGCCATGGCCATTCATCTTGACTTTTGTCTTGTCACTGGACATCAGTGACTCAGGAAGAGAGAGCAAGGCTGCCTCACTTAAATCCGATTCACCTGCAAGTCAAGACATCATCTGTGATGTCATTGGTCGTCTTTGAAGATGAAACATCAACAATACCTATTGGGTTGTTAAGCATGCTTGTCAGTTGGAGTTGTTGTCAAGATGAGTCCTGAGAAGAGATTTGAAGAGGAAATAGTAGTTGAACTGAGAGACCTCTTTGCAGATGTGCCCTAGAAAGGCAGAGAGAGGTCAGGCGAAGGGAAGATGCGTTGTTCGTGGGAAGCTGAGGTGTAAGGCATGGGTGTGCTCTGTGAGCGTGCAGCCCTGTTGGTGCTAGTGCTGCTGTTCTCTCGATGGAGGAGGAGCGGTGTCCAGGAGAGTGCCATCCTAGGTTCCTTCTCATAGTATCTTGTTGCTTCAGTCACCAGAGTTCTGGGAAAGCCTCTCGGTAGAGATTGAAGCCTCTGTAGTTAGGGAAGTTAAGCCCATTGTACCTGGGCTGCCCCTAAACAGGGAGAATCACAGCCAATAGTGAGTCTAATAACTGTCTGTTTCTTGCTCTTCTTAGGGATAATCCAGAAGCAACTCAACAAATGAACGACCTGATCATTGGCAAGGTCTCGGCAGCTCTGAAAGGCCATTGGGCCAACCCTGATCTGGTAAGGGAACTTTCCTCTCCTCATCACTCCTCTGTCCCCCCAAGTGTCAGCTCACACGCCCTGACACCCATTCTTCTTCCATCCCACTCCACCAGTTTCATTAGGAGCCCTCTTGCTCCAGTTAGTTGCCCATGCTAAGGCCAACCTTGGTACTGATCAGTGGCACATCAGCACCTCGGCCAGTGGGTGTGTAGGCATTTGCTCCTCCTCTCTTCTGTTGCTCTTAGTATCTCTGCTATGAAAGGAAGCACAGGGTAATAAAAGAACACAGGTCTTGGAGTCAGGACACTTTCAGATCCTGATAGTGACATTTCACCAGCTGTGTGATCATGGGCGAGCCATTTACCCTTCTCTGCCAGGGTTGTGATGAGGAAAGTGCTTTGTAAGTGTGAGTGTTCATCATTGTTGTAACTCAAAGATATTCTTCTAGGCTATCCCACCCCAGCTTCGTCACAGAAGTTGTGAGTTGTGAGAATTAAAGCCTTGAGATGCCTGTCAGAGTTGAAAGGTCACAGGCAGACTCCTGGCCCATCTGGACCTTTCTCTTCCCCTTGATCTTGCAGGCAAGCAGCCTTCAATATGAAATGCTCTTACTGACAGACTCCATCTCGAAGGAGGATAGCTGCTGGGAACTTCGCTTGCGCTGTGGTGAGTCCAGGACGTTGGGGATCGGGAATGGGCACTTCAGGACCAGGGGTTTGCAGGGCAGAGGCTCCAGAGAAACCAGATCTGCTAGGATGTGGAGCACTCCCTGGGCAGAGGTAGTGACTCAGGGTCTCTGCCTCCTCCATGCCAGCTCTCAGTCTTTTCCTCATGGCCGTAAACATCAAAACGCCTGTTGTCGTGGAGAATATTACCCTCATGTGCCTCCGGATCCTGCAGAAGCTGATCAAACCACCTGCTCCAACCAGCAAGAAAAACAAGGTATTTCACAAGTTCTCAGTGGATGCAAAGCCAGCCGGAGGTGCCAGGCTCTAGTCGCTGCTACTCCTTGGGGTTGCCCAATAACCAGAACAGGCCTGCCACCTCTCACTGTCTTGCTGTGTCTCCCATGGAGAAAGGGAGTGTTTAAAATCTAGCCCTAGGACAAACAACTCAGAGATTTTCATGGGCCTTCTGCCCCAAACTTCCCCTTAGGTGGGTTTTTTTCCCCCCTTTGCCCACTGGGGCTTTTGAGGCACAGACATTTGACTAACCAGAGCTCTTCTGGTGGGTGGCAGTTCTTTGAAATTCATTAAAGTTCAAAAGCTATCTGTTTTCTGAAACTGTTTAAACACCCTCAGATTAGGCATGGTACAGATCAGTGGAGCATCTGTAGCAAGTGCCTCCCAGACCTGACTTGGTCTTTCATTCTTTCTTGGTTGGACATGTTATTAAAGCTGAAGTGACACAGACCTCTGGGGGCTGGGGCTGTTGAGGAAGGTAGTAGGATGATTCTGGGAGTTTTGAAGGCAAGTGCAGACGAGATAGGCTTAAGCAAACTAAAGTGGAAGGACAACTGATGAGAGAATTCAGAGAGTTGAAAGGGAGGAGCTTAGAACCATCACAGGACTGGCAGGTTGAGTATTTTTATCATAAGATTCTCAGGGTTAGACGGTACCTTCAAGGTCGAAAGCATGCCCTGAAGCCTTCCCTCAGCCATGCATCTGACAAGTGCTCAACTCCACCTGTCCCGCCCCTAACACTGTGCTGACCTCCAGTCCTACATCTCCACTGTCTTTGAGACATCTGGAGCTGGATGTCCAGTAGACATCTTAAACTCGGCATGTCCAGAACAGAAGTCATCATCTTTCCCCCTAGACACCCCACCCCTCCTACCTTCCCTACTACTGTAGAGGACTACACCATTCTCCTGCTCCCTCAGGTTCACAGCCTAGGAGTCATCCTGGACTCTGGACTTTTTACTCTCACTCTCTATATCCAACTTTTGCCAAGGCCTGTCGATTTCACCTTTGCACCATCCTTATCTCCTCTGACACTGCTGCCACCCTGATGCAGACTTTTCCTCACCTCATGTCTAGACTGTTGTAGTGGCCTGCTGGGCTCACCACGTCTCTGCCCACTCCAGTCCATCAGACACTGAAGTGATTTTCCTAAAGTACAGGTCTAACCATGTCACCCCCACTACTCAGTAAACTCCAGTGGTTCCCTATTGCCTTTAGCAACAAATACAAAATCCTCTATGGCTTTTAAAACCCTTCATAGTTGGGCCTCTTCCAACCTTTCCAGTCTCATGCTTTTCTTCCCTCTGTGTACTCTTCATTAGGAAGAGAGGGAAGGAGTAAGCATTTCTGTAATGTCTACTATGTGCCAGGCACTGTACTAAGGGCTTTATAAATACTGTCTCATTTGATCCTCACAACAATCCTGGGAGGTAGGTGCTGTTATCACCTCCATCTTACAGATGAGGAAACTGAGGCAGGAAGAGGTTAAGTAACTTGCCCATGGTCACGCAGCTCATAATTTGAACTCAGGTCTTCCTGAGTCCAGGCACAGTGCTCAATCCTCTGTACCACCTAACTGACACCAGTTTCTTTGCCACTCCAGAGATGTTTTCATTGTCTGCCATTTAGAGTACTCTTCCTCCTCATCTCTACCTCTGCCAAAATCTCATCTTGTGCAAGAAATCCTTCCCAGTCTCTCTTAATGCTAGTACCTTCCCTCTGAGAATACTCACAATGAGGCAGCAAGGTGGTGCAGTAGATAGAGTGCTGGGCCTGGACTTAGGAAGACTCCTGCCTGCCTCGGTTTCTTCTCTTGTAAAATGGGGGTCATAATAGCACCTATCTCCCAGGATTGTTGTGGAATAACGTTTGTTATAACGGATCTTAAAGCACTATTGAAATGCCAGTGGTTATTCTGTCTGTATTTTGTATAATACATAGTTGTTTGTGTGTTGTCTCCCCATTAGACTGGGAGCTCCTTGAGGGCAGGGATTGTTTTTGCCTATTTTTGTATCCTTAGCACAGTGCTTGGCACATAGTAGATACTCACTAAATGCTTGTTGACAACTCACTGACTGACTTTGCTTGAAAACCTCCTGGGAGGGATCTGATCTCTAGGATAGTTTGCTTAAATTACATGAAGGCCCGGCCATTGTCTTCCAGATGAAGCCAGGGTCTGGAAATAAACAGGAGTAGGTGGGTCAGAATTAAGGGCGGCCATGTTAGGCCTCTGTATGTGACATTTCTAAGCTTTAAGACTTGAGACAGTGCAAGGGGAAAAATTCACTCCCTGAACTGATTCTAGTATCTAGTTGAAGACTTGGGCATTGAGGAAGTTTATATTCAGAGTTAGGCAAGTAGGGGAGAATGAGCTCCAAGATGCAAAACAAAGGGAAAATTTATGATCAAGACTAGAAGGTACTACAGCTGTGCTTGAGTATTTCCATGATTTCCTTTCAAGAACCAGTTGTAGCCATTCCAGTAAGTAAACAGCATCTTATACTACGCCGTCATGAGTGGGAACCCTAACTTAATTCTGGAACTGTTGATGCTAAGGAGGATTATCAGGGGAGCTCATCAACACAAGTATGGCTGCTCTGGCCCTTCTTCCCTTGAGAGTCTCAGGTTTGTTGGCAAGCTCTCATCTTGTCTCCCTCTCCCCTAGGACGTTCCTGTTGAAGCTCTCACCACAGTTAAGCCATACTGCAATGAGATCCATGCTCAGGCTCAGCTGTGGCTCAAGCGAGACCCGAAAGCATCCTATGAGGCCTGGAAGAAATGCCTTCCCACTAGAGGTGCGCCTTTCCCTTTACAAAGCTTAGGGGTGGGAGGAAGGGAAAAAAATGCTTGGAAATTGAAAAAAAAAATTAAATTGGAAAAAATAGAAAAGAGTATTTATAAAACAAAGAGACAGAAGGAAGGGGATGCAAATAGAGTGATTTTATTCCTCCCATGTTAAACTTAACATGTGATTTTGAAAAACAAACTATATGTAACAGAAGGTCACAATTTTTTATTCAGTCTCTTTTTTGTTCTTCCTTGTATGTTGGAATGTTGGTGTTTATTGATAAAGTCATAATACCAATACATTTCTTTCTTAATTTTGAAAGAAAAAAGATGTTGGCAACCACGGCAGAGCCTGAATCCAATGGCAATTCATGTTTGTATGATGCTTTAAGATGTAGAAGGCATTTAACCATTCAGTTAGCAAGCGTTTATTAAGTGCTTACTATGTACCTGGTACTAAGTTAAATGATAGGGGTACAAAGAAAGATTAAAATGGTCCCTGCTTTGGAGGAGCTCCCAGTCTAATTGAGGAAGACTTAACCCAGAAAACTGACAGACTTGTGGTTACTTACCCCCGCCCCTTTTGTTCCAACTGCCTTGTTTTCCTCATTCTTCCTTCCACATTCCAGGGATGGATTCCAATGGGAAATCCTCTACTAGGTTGGAGCTTCGGCAGCTCTACTTGACGGAGAAGTATGTGTGGAGGTGGAAACAGTACATGAGCCGTCGGGGGAAGAGGACCTCCCCATTGGATCTCAAATTGGGTCACAACAACTGGCTTCGGCAGGTGAAGGAGCGTCTTTCCTGAGATGATACCACTTAGCCAGAGCCCTTGGATGCGCAGACGGGCTGAGCCACTATTAGGCTTTTTAGAGATGTCCTCTGCCCCCCTTCTTGCTGTTGCCGCTTTTACTCTTTCTCCTGTGTCTTTGCCTGCCTGTGCCTTTCTGATCAGGATCCAGTAGGGTTTAATGTTGCTGTTAACAAGATGGTGGTTGGCCTGGGCAGAGCAGAATCTCTCTTTCCTTCCTCTCTCTTGCCCACTTACCAACCTTGGTAGTCTCTGTTCTCTGCTGACTTCACCTCTCCTACTCATTTGGCTGAACTTCAGAACCCAAAGCATACTCCCTCCTTCTCCTGTTCTCCTTTACCATTCCTCCATCCTTCTGTCCTCCACCCGTCGTGCCTCTCTCCTGCCTCTCAGCCTCTGTCCTACCTCTCAGCCCCTCTCCACTCTCCTACCCTCTCTTCTCTGTCCTTTTGTCCTACCTCTCCTCTTTCGCTCCTCCCCGTCTTGCTCCTTTCTTTCTAATCTCTTCCATTCTGCATCCCTCTCTTCTTTCTCCTCTTTCTTCCCCAGTTCCTTCCCTCCACAGCATTTCAAAGAAGCATACAAATAACACATTAGAACCAAATAGCCCATGCTGTGAGGAAAGTTCCATTAAATGAAGACTTCAGCAGAAAGCTAATTGTTTCTTCTAAAACAAAGGTTCTCTTAAGAGCTTTCTAAGGAAACTACCTTTAAAATAATCTGTATTAAAATTCAGGCATCTTACTGTCTTGCAAACTAATTAACAAAGATCTTAGTAAAAAGGCTACTTGACGCTACCAGGCAAGAAGCACATGTAGCCAGCTGCTTCTGGTTCATTTGCTCCCTTATGCCTCCTTTCCTTTTCGTTTGGAGTTTTGAGGCTCCTGTGTCAATTTCAGGCTTACCCTTCCCCAAGGATTTCTCCATGGGATGGAGTAGTTGGCAGGGTTAGTCCTGGGGAAGTGGATTGACCTGCAGCTCGGGAGGGGGGGAGCTACAGCCAAGTCCAGCTAGTGACGTCCTGCCTCCCTTGTGCTCTTTCAGGTGCTGTTCACTCCAGCGACCCAAGCAGCCCGTCAGGCAGCCTGCACCATTGTGGAGGCTCTGGCCACCATTCCCAGCCGTAAACAGCAGGTCCTCGACCTCCTCACCAGGTACCATGGAGGGCTGGGTAGGGGCTCTGAGAGCCCATGCTTCTCTGGCTTTCCATCTTCTTTGCCTTGGAGGGCATCAGGGCTCCCAAGGAATTCCTGAGAGTCCCATATAGGCTGAATTCTGCTAGCTAAATTCTGGCCCTGCTGGGTTCTTTTGTGCTTTAGAATATTAGTGCAAGTGGTTTGTTGCACTTGGGTATTGGCTGCTTATCGTCATTTCTGCCTACATGTTTGGACCTATTTCAGTTGCCCAGTTACAATTTCTTTGTGTCCCTGTACCAGTTACCTGGACGAGTTGAGTATTGCTGGAGAGTGTGCAGCTGAGTACTTGGCACTCTACCAGAAGCTAATCAAACCAGCACACTGGAAGGTCTACCTGGCAGCTCGGGGAGTCCTGCCCTATGTTGGCAACCTCATCACCAAGGTATTTCACATCTCCTTTAATTCTTCTCATTTTCAGATTAATTATTTTGCCTCTCTGGGACTCAGTTTCTTCATCTGTAAAATTCAAGGGGTTAGACAAAATGATATTAAGATTTCTTCCAGATCTATTGAGCTATGACACTGACATTCCTTAGGTATCACACAAGGTTCAAGACATGACGTTTGTCCTAGAGGAAAAAGGTAGTACATAGCCTTCTGCCTTAAGACACCTGAGACTTCCTCTGACCATTAGATACTCTCCTATTCCTGGCTTTGTCGGTCTCCCAGTGGTGGGGTTGGGGAGGTTCTGGTCTTACTATCCTTGAGGCAGCTCTTCTGAGGCTCACACCTGGCTGTGATGTGAGTGACAGAAGCTTCATGCTGTGTGCAAGAGAGGGCCCTCCCTCACTAAAGTGCTTGTCACCCAGGCCTCCTTTACATGCCTTCAGATGTGGTTCTACTGTCTCAAGCTGGGATTTGTAATTTGTCCTGGCGTTTTCCTTTTCTCTCAGAAAGCTGGGAGAATCTCAGGGCCCTACATCACAGTTGAACTAGCCTCTCAGAGTGTTGGCTTCAAAGGCCTATTAACTGTCCCTAGGTTCTAGAAGGGACCTTTCAGGGATAGTGAAATGAAGAGGTTAACCATCTTGGATCAGTAAAAACTGAGGTATAGGTGTTGATGTAAGTGTCCTGATTGGCACTGTAGATCTCAGGGAAGGGGGATGGTGGTGACATATGTTACGATGTTACATTGACCATTCCTGTTGTCCTTTCTAGGAGATAGCCCGTTTGCTGGCCCTGGAGGAGGCTACGCTGAGCACTGACTTACAGCAGGGATATGCTCTCAAGAGCCTCACAGGTATAATTAGCGCACAGCTCTTCTAATGGGGCATCCTTTGCTATTGAAATAGAAACATGTATTTGGAGCCAAAGTACCTCTATCTGTGTGAGTTCGGGTGCTGGCTCCCTGTTCCTTACCTTATCGTCTGCAACATGAACAGGTTTATGGTCTTAAGTCTCTCTTTGATACTGGCTTTGAAATGTTGAGTTTGTTTGTCTGCCAGAGTACCTACAGCTCTCTCCTGTGTCCCTCCAGGCCTCCTTTCCTCCTTTGTTGAAGTGGAGTCCATTAAGCGGCACTTCAAAAGCCGCCTGGTGGGCACTGTGTTAAATGGCTACCTGTGTCTGCGTAAGCTGGTAGTGCAGAGGACCAAGCTGATTGATGAGACCCAGGATATGCTGCTGGAGATGCTGGAGGACATGACCACAGGTAGAGCTACCCTGAGGCCTGGAGCCTCAGCCCCTTTCCTACTTTGTTGGCCCAGGATATCCCCAAGTTCCACAGAGATGGAAGTAACAATGAATAGTCAGGGTCTGCACATTTGGGCACTGCGCGAAGGGAGCACTGAAAGGGAAGGCAGGTATATATTAGACATGAAGGAGTTTGCAGCCTGGTTGGGGCATTGGACATCACCACAGGTAGCCATCATACATGTTGTTAGGTGGTCATTAAGAGGCAGAAAAACAAATATTGGTCTGAGGACTTAGGTCATCATCAACCTGGGTGGGATCAAGGAGACTGTATCCTCAGTTTCCCAAAGTTCAAAGAGAGAAATTCCTTTTTGGGGACAGTACCAACTCTTGAAGTTGTAAAATTTCAATCCCAGAATTAGATTTTTCTCGCATTCCGTCAGTCATGTTGGGGCTCTTGTGTTTGAGACGTTATCAGCTGAATCCTTCCATTTGAAGCTCCTCATTTTGCTGGTACCCCAAATCTTATCCTCATGTGGTCTAGTAACCTTTCAGCCTATGCTGTGAGTAACAAGGCAGATCAGTTTCTTTTGATTTGGTAGCTTGGGATGTCGCAGGAAGACTCTGAGGGAAGCTTCTTCCAAACTGACTGGTCCTTTTGATTCTGGCAGGCACAGAATCAGAAACAAAGGCCTTCATGGCAGTGTGCATTGAAACAGCCAAGCGGTACAATCTGGATGACTATCGGACTCCCGTCTTCATCTTTGAGAGGCTCTGCAGTATCATCTATCCTGTAAGTGAACGGCTGCTCATTGGAGGCCTCGTGCAGGGCACGTTAGCAGCAAAGGAGGAGAGGTTGGAGTTGGGGTGGGGGGTGGGGGGGAATGACCTTATGGCTGCCCAAGAATCTTCGTTTAGTTATCATTTAGCATCCCATGACATAAAAATGGCAATAAATCCATTCTTCTATTAATTTTGATGTGAACAAATTTTCTATAATGTGAAACTCCGTGCATTACTTCCCTCCCCAACCCCCCAAAGAAAATTCCTGGTATTAATTACATATATATTAGTCAATCCTTAAAGGCCCTGATCTGCTAGTATTCCTCCACCCAGTAGGTTCTGAAAGCAATATTGATTTGGAGTGGTCTGTATGAAGGAGTCTCCGTATTTCTCCTTTTTCTTCTTTACTTTTGTGTTACATTTTCCCCAAACTGGGGTACATCAGTTCAGTATGCACTTCCTGGGCTCCAGGCCCTATGCCAGGCTCTAGGGGTACAAAAACTGACACAAAACAGTGCCTGTTCTTCTCAAAAAGCATTCTGTCGGGAGGAAGAGCATAGACCTAGGGTAGTAAGTATAGAATATGCACCAACTAAGTACAAAATAATCTAGGGGTTACCAAGAAATAAAGCACTCCAGAAGGGTCTCTTGGAGCAGGTGGCATGTGAACAGAGCCTGAAGGAAACCAGGGTCTCCACTGGAGGTGGAACTGAGGGAGGTAGGGGAATGAAGCCACATGTGTGGGAAATGGTGGGCAGCTGAATGTGGCTAAAATGTAGAGTGTGAGGGGGTCCTACATACTTTCCCCTCAAAAGGTCAGCCAGAGCCAGGCCGTGAAGGGTTGTAAATGCCTCTGAATCTGCCTGAGCAGGGCAATGGCATGGTCAGACCTCTACTTTAGGAACATCGGTTTGGAAACTGGGGAAGACTAAGAAGGGGAGAGACTGGATACAGCACAAATAATTTGGAAACTGTTGTAATATTTTAGGTGATGAATATCTGAATTGGGGTGCTTGTGGTGTGAGTATAGAATCGGGCACAGATACAGATGTTACGGAGGTAGGATTGGAGAACTTGGCAGCTGATAGGTTATTGGGGATTAGTGAGAGTGAGAAGGGGAGAATGATATCAGGGTTGTGGGCTGAGGTTCTGGAAGAATGGTGGAAACCACAACTGAAAGAGGGCAACTAGCTGAAAAGATTTACGCTTAGGGAAAAGCTAATGAGTTTTGTTTAGGACTTGTGTTTGAGATATAAGCATATGGGGTGCATTCAGGGGGAGGTATTTAGTGGACATTTGGAGATATGGGACTCTCGAGTGAGATGAGGGCTGGCTGTGTAAATTTAGGAGTCATCTCCAGAGACATGGTAGTTGGATCAGTGGGTTCTAATGAGATCGTGAAGAGAGAGTGTAGAGAGTTAAGAGAAGAGTGTCCAGCCCAAAACAGAGCCCTGGAGCACACCCACTCTTAGAGGATGAGACAAGAGGTGACCACAGCAGAGCAGTGGAGGTAGCACCCAGAGGGAAGTGTCAGGGGTGTCAGATGCGGCAGAGAGTTGAGAAGGGTGAGGACTGAGAAAAGGCCATTGGAGTTAGCAGTAAAGACCCCATTGGTGACCTTGGTGAGAGCTGTTTTCGTTGAGTGGTGGGCTTGGAAGCTGGCCAGCCAGAGACAAAAATGATTGGGAAGTGAAGAAGGAGAGGCGATGTGTCTCGATGGCGTATTGTAAGAGTTCAGCCGTGACAGGGAGATGAGACAGAGGGTGTTAGCTTGAGGGGGTGCTAGCATGAAGGATGGAGGCGTGGGGATGGAGACGAGGAATGTCCGTAGGCATTGGGGAAGAGCAAAGGAGCAGAGGTCTCTATGTGAGCCAAAGGTCTTCTCCTGTCGGTCAAGAATAATGAAGAATCTTATTTTAGCATCAATAGTACTTCTCTGAAGGGAGGGGCATTGGGTGTCAGGTGTGTTTTACTAGGTACAGGAGCAATTTTAATATTTAACATAGAGAAGTCCTTCCAGAATTTAGGGAACTTCTAGCCTAGAAGGTTGTCAGATGGTGCATGAAGAAAGAATGTGGGGAATTCTCAGGGTGATCTGCTCTAGCTTTCTGCTATAGCCCCATTCCCATCATGTAGGTAGGGTTGCTGTTACCTTCGTGTGGCCCTTCTTCTTCTACCCCTGGTTGGCCCCTTTCACCCGAGGCATAGATCTGCAGCTGCTAAAACCTTGTTAGTGGATTTCTTTCAGATAGACATGGGAGTTCTCTTTATCCACCTCCAAGTGTTTTGTTGTAGCCCTGGATCCTCAGTTCAGTAAGGGTGCTCTTTGTGTCAGACCTCAGCGCCCCTCAGGCAGTCCAGACGCCAAGGCAGCTTGCTAGTACACTTACATGTGGTGACTTCTAGTCTTCCCTGACTCCATCATCATCTTTGTTCTTCAGGAAGAGAATGAAGTAACTGAGTTCTTTGTCACTCTGGAGAAGGATCCCCAGCAGGAAGATTTCTTACAAGGTCGCATGCCTGGCAACCCTTACAGCAGCAATGAGCCGGGCATTGGGCCTCTCATGAGGGACATCAAGAACAAGATCTGCCAGGACTGTGATCTGGTGGCCCTGCTGGAAGATGATAGTGGGATGGAGGTAAGTGTGTGAGGGCGGCAGTCTGGGCAGGGCTCCCCACTTCTGGAAATTTTAGCCACTTAAGTGCTTTATATTGGTGTTTCCCAACCTGAACTCTACTGTCAAGTGGTAAAGTATCTCAGACCTCATCTGTGGACCATTTCATGTGGCAGATCGGGCCAGGAGAGAGAGAGGATGCAGTTACAAAGTCTTATAGCTTTTAAAAAGTAAGGAAAAGGTTTACAGACAAGTAGAAATTTGTTTTGGACTAGTGGTTGAGAAGCACTGCTCTCAGTGTTCTCTCCAGTCTCCATGGAGATGTACTTAGTTGTGGATTTGATGCCTCTGATGTGAAGACGATTTCTTTGGCCTGACTGTAATCACATTGCTTAAAGGAGAAAGATGGTGGAAGGACTGGAGAGGAAGGAGACTTGCTTATCCAACTTGTTTATCTCTAAGTTAATTTAGTCAGAAGTGTGAAACCTTGTGCCCTTAGCAGAGACAGCCTGTTTGCTTTCCTGTTCAGGGTCTCATCCCCATGGTGTGATGTCTTATCTGTTTGTGACCTACTTGGAAATCATTAGGAGTAACAGGCCATTTACATTGCCTTTCAGCTCCTGGTGAACAATAAAATTATCAGCTTGGATCTTCCTGTGGCAGAGGTTTATAAGAAGGTCTGGTGCCCCACAAATGAGGTAGGTTCTTGCTTTCTTACTCAGCGCTGTGGTGCTTATATCAGCACTTAGAGTTGCAGTTCTCCAGTTTGGGATTGGTGGGATGGAAACCAGTCATCTTGTCCTACTTTGGAGGAAATTTGCTGCAGACTACTAGAGGTATAAGAGCTTCAGGAGATTAGAGGACTTTACTGGAGAGGTGAGGCACAACCCTTCTCTAGCGTGGCAGCCGTGAGGATTTGGAAGACTGGCCTGTGCCGTCTGCAAGAGCGAGCCCTGTGACCATGCACGCTTTTCTGCCTCCCTCCTCTTCAGATTGAAACCTTTTTACAGAAATTAATCCTTAGCATTTTCTGGGACAGTGACTAATCTGTAATCCCTGGAACACTGTGCTGTGTCAGGCAGTGGCACCCCCATTTTACAAGACCCCAGACAGGCACTTCCTGCATTGATGTGAGGGAAGGGGAGCAGTATCCTGCATCTTCTTTGGGGTCCCTTTAATTCTGGTCTTTTGCTTTCAGCAACGTGGGCATATCTCCATGCTGTCCTTAGCTGTCCCCTCCTTTCCATCCCTTTCCTTCTCCCATCCCTCTCTTTGATCTCTTCTTCCTTCCCGTGTTTCTCTGTCCCTACTCTGTTCCTTCTTTGGCAGCATCTTCACCACCTCCACCCCTGCCCCTGGTCCCCTTCCCCCAGGCACAGCTGTGGGCTTTGCACTCAGTTTTCCCTGCCTGGCTGAGATGGGAAACACCAGAATCATGGAACATCACCATCAAGAAGCAGCTTTCCTCTGCCTTGCTTTTGTTGGCCGTGTTTCTGGACCGTGGTTTCAAGTCCTCTTGCCATTCTGCAGATTCACAACCACTGCCTCAGACCTGCTGTTGTTCCCCTTATTTCCTTGGGCTTTTGGTGCTGATAGGTTATTTTACTTGGTTTCCTGTAGTGGTTGTTGCTGAGCTATAGCAGGCCTTTGAGCAGCAATTCCTGAGGCTTCTTTTGGCCTTGAGTGTTTGAGATGATGTTAAGCACTGCTTGGTCCACATTAGGCTTCATGGGGCTTTCTAACAGGTTCTCTTCTTTCTCAGCTCCTCATTCCTAAAGCTGCCTCAAAAAGTCCTCTGACTTTCTGAAAGTTTGAGTTTGATACTTCATTGCAAGTCCCAGGCAGGAGAGGGGCTAAAGGGTTAAACCCTTCCCTGTTGAGACTGTGGTTAGAGACCCCCGTTCCTTCCTTAGGCAACAGATGGACTTATCATTTTCTTTTCCTGTCTGAGATTACTTACAAAGGCTTGTCTTTAATTAAAAAGCTCTTTCTTCTAATTAGCCTCTCTTCTTATATGCTTCCTTGGGTAGTTCTTACTTTTGCTTCAGGGCTCCACCCTCTCCCTGGAAGAAATGAGTGGGTGAGTGAGTTGGATTTTCAGGGAAGTTCTAGATCACTTCTTACATGAAACACCTGCTTTCTACGACTGATCATTGATGTGGTATTTCATTGTAAGAGGGCTGTAGGCATATGCACACACATATACCTATATATACGTGTGTGTGTAGGGGGGTGTGTGTGTGTGTGTGTACATGAGATAGCAGTAGTAACTGCCATTTACATAGAACCTTAAAGTTTACAGAGGTGTATATACACAAAGATATAATACACATATGCATAACTATTCATACATATATGCATGCATACACACATGTATGCACATATACGTGTGTGTGTGTGTGTATTCTTATTTGAGCCTCCCAACAATTCTGTTAGGTAGGTACTACAGGTATTATTTTCTTCATTTTATAGATGAGGAAACTGAGGCTTAGAGAGGTTAAGAGAGTTGCCTATGACCACATTATAATATATGTCAGAGATGAGGATTTGATCCTAGATCTTCTTGGCTTCAAATCCAACATTTTAGCCACTATGTCAAACATGCTGCTTCCCACCTAACATTCATTGGTTCCTTGAGGAAGCTATACAATGGGTTTTCACTTATTATTTAAATGGAGTGTTCTATAAAATTAATGTTTATGTGTACACAAAGTAATTAATAAAATTCAGGCTTAGGCAGTAGCTTGGTTTATCACTAACCATCTCTATCTATCGATAGGGGAATCTGGTCTCTCCAGTGGTGTTGGGTTTGGGCCAGAATATATTAATGACATTGTTTTAAAATGACATAACTCAGGGCAATATTATGTGGGGTATAGCTATATCTTTCCATATATAGTGCCCAGAGGATAGTACTATGTCAGAGGGAATTACATTTTGAGGCGATTCAGACTCTGGTGTTTGGTTAATGAGGATTGTAGCATTCTGTATTTGACTCTTAACTCGTTGTCACAACAAATGGGAAGGGTTTTCCTCAAGGCAGGCATGATCATCCATCCTGCCCCTAAAGTCTCGATCTTAAGGCCCAATAGGACTCACCATTGAGAATGAGATCAGGGTGTCTAAGTGAACCTCTCATGGAAGTGAATGAAGTTTTTCCGCTTTCTCTACTCAGGGAGAACCCATGAGGATCATCTATCGAATGCGGGGCTTGTTGGGTGATGCCACCGAGGAATTCATTGAGTCCCTGGACTCCACCACAGGTATCATTGTCTCAGGAAATGCCATTCCAAGTGATCTGGGGTTTGCAGCCAAAGAACAGGCTCTCCACTTGTTGACAGTCCATCCCTTCTGCCCTCGTGAATTTTTCTAAGAATCTTCAGGGGTCACTTTCTCTGTAACTCAGGAGAAACTTGCATTGTAATTTTAGTCAGTCTCCTTCCCAGAATTATTAGAAAGATGATGAGATAGAGCTGTCTGTGGAATGCTTTTATTAGCATAGCCATGGACTGAGCTGTCATCCATTTTTGTTTGCTAATGGAGAGAAGAAGAAGCCTTTCTCCTTTCTCACAATGGTTGTGCCTTCCCTCTGTTGATTTTCTTCAGTTTGTTTTATTTTCTTCAGTATTGTCTTTTGTCCGCAGCTGTTTGCTTGTGGTCTCACCCACTAGGCAGGAGCTCCTTAAGGGCAGGGACTGTCTTTTGTCTTTCTTTGTATCCTCAGCATTGAGCACAGTGCCTGTCACTGTAGTAGGTACTTAATAAATTGTTGCTTATTGACTGATTAATGATGCCTGTTTTCTCATCAATTCAAGGTGCATTTAGTAAAGTTTACTGTGTATAAGGCCCTGTGCTAGGCAACGGTAATACAAAGGTGAAAAACGACATAGTCCTTGCCCTCAAGGTGCTTTCAGTCTAATTGAGGAGAGGGGAGAGGAATGCACCATAAATAGAAATTAGTATGATTCATCATAGAATATGATAAAGGCAGATGAAGGAGAGCCAGGTAAAATGTGCAAGGAAGGAGGGAACCAAATATTTCTTAATTGCCTACTAATTGCCTATACTGTGCTTTGCACTTTACAGTCATCATCTCATTTGATTCTTACAACAACCCTTCAAGGTACAGATGAGGAAACTGAGGCAAACAGAGGTTAAATGATTTTCCCAGGGTTACACAGCTAGTAAGGGCCTGAGGTAGGATTTGAACAAGTCTTCTTGACTCCAGGCCCAATGTCCTCTCCTCTATTCCACCAAACTGCTGGGAAATTTGAGGAGGGTTAGAGAGGGCTCGCTTTCAACTGGAGGAAGCAGGGAAGGCTTTGTGGAAGAAGACCTTGAAATAAGAAGACCCTGAAAGGAGAAGAATATCAGCCTGCAGTAACAAGGAGACAGTGCATCCGGACAGTCTACACAGATGCAGAGTAGTAATGAAACAGCTAGTAGTCCAATTCGATTAGGAACATGAAGGAGAGTAGTTTGAAATAGAAGCCTTGAAAATCAGGTTACATCTAGATTGTGGGAAGCCTCCTATGCCAAGCTGAGTTTTTCTTTTGTTTATAGTGGGGAACCACAAAAGATTTTTGAGCAGAGGACTAAAATAGATAGATTAGAGTCAAAAAGCTTTACTCTGATTAGCTCTGGCCTTAATTTCTCCTGGGGGGGGGGGTGTGAAACATAACAGTTGAATATAATATCCCTTCTAGGCCCCTTTGAGTAATTTGCTATTTATTAGGAGGAAGGGTTGTAGGTAATGAAAATATCTTTAAGTCTAGTTAAGATGTGTCTCCTCCTCACCACTACATGGGTCCCTTCTTTTTAGATGAAGAAGAAGATGAGGAAGAGGTATATAAGATGGCTGGTGTGATGGCCCAGTGTGGGGGCTTGGATTGTATGCTCAACAGACTAGCTGGGATCAAGGATTTCAAACAAGGCCGACATCTTCTGACGGTGAGTGGGTGAATAAGAGCTGAGGTATCCTTTTGACTCTTAAAAAGTGACATGTAACAGTAATTCAGCTTAGCTCCAGAGGGCAGCATAATGTCATTAATCCTTCTCTATGAAGGCGAACTAAAGAAGAAGACTTTGGACCCATGCAGTTTCCCAAAACGTTTTTCTGCTTGTTTCACTCATACCTTTAGGCATAAGGAATATTATGTATTGCTAAGGAACCAGTATAATGACTCTTCTCTTGGTCATTGCTGTGGAATAACTATTTACTTGTTTTTTCTCCAACTGTTAATTATACTTAAGCTGGTTTTTCGGACTGCTAGAATATAACTTTTTCATTGTTCTCCTCTAGGATTATAGTTAAAACATTTATCCAACCATTCCATTAGCATTTGTTTTATTGGATTTTGAGGATTTACAAGAGCCTCGCAAACATTTTCTCCATCATTTGAACTCTCCAGAGATATGAGAACAAGTAACATGTCATAACCAGGTTGAACAAAAGACAGAGAGGTTTGCCCCATAATGATTGCCAAGGACTCTTTGGATTCCTTTGCTTCTCCCCCTATAATTTAGGGAACAGCATAGATCATGAGTTTTATCATCATTTCCACATGCCTGTTGAAATTGATAAAGGCATTTTTCAAAGCAGTCACACCTTAGGGTTCTGTTCATTGATGGTTAGGTTCCCTTGCAGTTGGCTGCTGGAATAGAGGGGGTGCCCCTGATCCATGGAGAAGCCAACCCTTTAGCAGAACTATAACCTGGCTTGGTTTCCCAGTCATCCTACTATATCTCCTCCTCCTTCTACCTCCCCACTCCCACCCCTTTGAGAGTATCTTGATAACAGGGAGAGAACTAACTGATGGTGTGTGGCCACTTTGATTCAACTTTGGGGTTGTGATTAAGCATCTACTTTTTTTCTGTGTGCTTTTTTAACTTAAGTAAAATTTTATTATTTATTAAAATAAATTTTGTTTTTCCATCCACATTTCTCAATTTGCTCGATGTGAAGTGAAACCTTAGATTTGTTTGATTTGCGTTTTTCTTATTAGTGATTTGACATGTTCTTTCATGTGGTTATTAATAGTTTGCAATTCTTTTGAGAATTATTTTTTGCTCTATTTTGACTGTATCTATTAGGGAATGGTTTTTGGTCATATATATTTCTTTTAATTGCCTACATATCTTGGATATCAGGTCATATTGGAAATTTTTTCCCCCAGTTCATTGCTTTTGTTCTTATCTTAGTTGCATTAATTTTGTTCATGCATTTCATGTCATATCCATTTTATTTTTTGTAATCACCTCTGTCCTTTATTTGGTTAAGAATTTATCCCTTAGCCAAAGCTATGAAAGATACATGATCTATTTTTCTCCTAATTTTTTTTTAAATGTTGTGGTCTTTAATATTCAGATTGTGTATTTTAATTTATTGTGGTATTTGGTGTAAGATGTTGGTTTAAACCTAATTTTGATTGGACTGCTTTCTGGTTTCCCATCATTTTTTATTAAATAGGGAGTTTTTTCCTAGCTAATTTTGTTTTTTAATTTATTGAACACTGGATTATTGAGTTCTGTTATTTCTGTTTTTCTTTGTCTGACCTTTAGCATTGACCTACTTTTCTAATTTTTAGCAAAAATACAGCTGATGATTTCTACCTTATAATATAGTTTGAGATTTCCCCTTTTTTTTCAGCATTTCCTTATTATTTTAGATCTTTTGTTTCTCCAGATGAATTTTGTTATTATTTCTTCTAGCTTTGTAAAGTATCTATTTGGTAGTGTGATTAGTGCATCACTAAATCTATAGATTAATTTTGTTAGAATTGTTATTTTTATTTTGTTGGCAAGGCCCATCCATGAGCACCGAATTAACTCCTTTTATTGTTTTTTTTATATTTAAGAAGCATTTTGTAATCGTATCTTTACAGGCATTGAGTGTGCTTTGGTGAATTGACTCTACATGTTTGATGAATTTTATCGTTATTTTGAGCATGGCTTGCCACTACTTCTTTCTCTAAGACCAGTTCAGCCTCATACAGTTTAGCAACTCACCACTTCCTAGGCACTCTCCGTGTTTAGATGTTATAGAATTTACCTGATTTTTCTTGGCAGGTACTTCTTAAACTGTTCAGTTACTGCGTGAAGGTGAAAGTGAATCGGCAGCAGCTGGTCAAGCTTGAGATGAACACTTTGAATGTCATGCTGGGCACTCTTAACTTGGTAAAGAGACTGGATTGGGAATTATGAACAGAAAGCCTTTGAAGCCTGGGGTGGGGGAGAGAGACCTTGGAATTCCCTCTCTGCTAGATCTTCAGCTCTCTCGGGAGACTGGCAAGAAAGAGCCTAAATTGATTTGTTAGGTCGACTTTGTGACTCAGGTCATTTGCTCCATCTGTGAAGCAGCCTTCTAGAAGAATGCAGTCCATCTTCCAGCTATTTGGTATTATCTCTTCAGATTGAAGAGAGAGGACTTTCTCCTCCCTGTGGCACCAAGTGCCATGTTATCCTCTTCCTGAATTTACACAAAGACAAGATGAGAAGGTAGCCAGCTATGAAGCCTAAACCTGAAGCTGGCTTTAACTTCTAGAAACATAATCACCAGTATGTGGTTTTGCTTTCTTTCATAATGCTTAAGAAAGGGTCTGCGAAGCCAACTCACCTCCCCCAATCCTACTTTATTTCTTCCCCCTCCTCACCCCATCCTGTGCATTAGAGCCCTGTGAGTGGAGCCGAGGAGGAGAACATTTAGCAGGAGAGAGCGGTGGTTGCTGTTTTCAAATATTTGAAGGAGTGTTGTATGGAAGAGGGATTAGATTTGTTCCACTTGGCCCCAAAGGGCAGAACTAGATTGAAAGTTGCAGAGAGGCATATTTAGGCTCAATGTAAGATTTAGAGCTGTGTTAACAATTAGAGCTGTCCAGACATGGGATGGGCTGCCTCAGGGAAGTAGTGGGGTCCCTCTCATTAGAGGGCTTGAGGCAGAGACTAGCCGTTTGTCAAGGATATTATGAAGGGAAATTTTATTTTGGTGCCATTTGTATTAGATGACTTTTGTGATCCCTTCCAACTCTGAGATTCTGTGAATGGACCTATTGAGGAGTAGCAAGGAGAGGTTGGGTCTGTTAGCATGGTGGGCTAAAGAGCCTCTGGTTTTATCCCCCAAACAATGGAATCTTCTTTCCCCAGGCCCTGGTGGCTGAGCAGGAAAGCAAGGACAGCGGAGGGGCAGCTGTGGCAGAACAGGTGCTCAGTATCATGGAGATCATTCTGGACGAGTCAAATGCTGAGCCCCTGAGTGAGGACAAGGTGAGAGCTGGGGGAAGGCCTACTCAGCGCACACGTGTTGTTTGAACATTTGTGGTATTTCACTTTGTAGTGACTTGGCAGGGCTCAGGCAAAATCTCCTCCACAGTCAGCCTTACAGGAAGTGCTGTCTGAACCAGATCCAAAAAGTCATTGAGAAATGTTTTAATAAAATAAATAAAAATACATTACAACATAGATAATGGTAATTTATGATTTTCGAAGTCGTCATGCTGCCCCCAGGGATGTATCTGAGCTTGACACCACTGCCTTACTGCCTAGAGTTGAACTGGTTCAGGTCAGCTCTGAATCCCTTGGTTTTAGGGGAACCCAAACTGCTAATATTGTCACTTTGCTCAACAGCTACTAGCTTTCTCCTTTATCTCCGTGAAGTTTTATCAGCTCTGTCTGTGGCTCTGTCCCCAGAGTTAATCCTCAGGGATCTCCCATTTCCCTTGGCTCAGGTTAGAGCACTGCATCCAGACCCTTGAAAATATTGGAGAATTTAGAAGTGTCACCTCAGGTCGATCCCACTCTTCCTTTATAATCGTTAACCTGTTCTTCCCAGGAAGCCAGACCTTGCCCAGTCCCATCGTCCGGGTGTGGAATGTGCACGAGTTAAAATTTTAGGCATTTGAGGTTAAGTGACTTGCCCAGGGTCACACAGCTATTAAGTGTCAAGTGTTTGGTCTGAGGCTGCATTTGAACTCAGGTCTTCTTGACTTCAGGGCCAGTGCTCTATCCACTGCACCACCTAACTGCCCCCACAAGAAGTTTTTAAGTAAAGGCTCGGGGTGTCCTAGGGGGATTTCTGTTCAGGTATAATGAGACTTGAGGACTTCTAAAGACCCTTCCAACTCTGAGAGTTTAGGATTCCTTTAATTTGTGGGCCTCCTGCAGGATATTTTCACTGAAATGGGGTGTGAAGGTTACTGCTTCTAGGGGTCAGTCAAGCTCTGGTGGGACTGGGCAAGGTCTGACTTCCTGGGAAGAATGGGTTAAAAATATATTTCCTGCACCATTGACTGCATGTCTTTTTTTCTGCCCCCTCTTGGTTGTTGTTTCAGGGCAACCTTCTACTGACAGGTGACAAGGACCAGCTGGTGATGTTGCTGGACCAGATCAATAGCACTTTTGTGCGCTCTAATCCCAGTGTCCTTCAGGGCTTGTTGCGAATTATCCCGTATTTGTCCTTTGGAGAGATGGAGAAAATGCAGATCCTGGTGGACCGATTCAAGCCATACTGCAGTTTTGACAAGTACGCTGCTCTGACCTGGTGTAGTGGAAGGGGATTCTGCCCAGGGTCCCTGAGCCGGCCGTCCGGGGTGGGGGGTGCACGCTGTCTCATGGGGGGCCCACCTGCTGAGCTCTGCAGCTGACCCCTGGGGACCCTCTGCAAGCTTCTTTTTTTCCGTGGCCTCACTTTCCTTCTCGGTGCAATGGTGGGGTTGGGTCAGCTGATCCCCAAGGGCTCTTCCAGCTCCAGCATGGATGATTCTGAGGCTTCAGACTCTTAGCAAATCTTTAAAGATTTGCTACTTTTCCTTCTTAGGTATGACGAGGATCACACTGGTGATGATAAAGTCTTCCTGGACTGTTTCTGCAAAATAGCAGCTGGCATCAAAAATAACAGCAACGGGCACCAGCTGAAAGACCTGATCCTACAGAAGGGAATCACGCAGAGCGCCCTGGACTACATGAAGAAGCACATCCCGAGTGCCAAGAAGTAAGGGTCACCCTGCCCAGCGGCCTCCTTGCCTTCATCTCTTGGTGTCGTTCGTTTGTTTGTCCATCACTTTCCTTTCTGACATGCCATCCCCTTCCCTCGCCCAGTGAGCCATTCCCTGTAACGGGGAGTAAGGAATAAAAAAGGAGCTCAGCACAGCGAGCCCGTAGTCCCCCACGCATGTGCCCCCTGCACGCTCAGGCTTAGGACCTCTGGCCTCTGTCCTCCAGAAATGATCCCAGTTGAGGTAAAGCTGCCAGCGTTCTTTTGGGGAGAGGAAAGGAGAAGAACGGCAGGAATGAGAGGCGATGCTGATGCCGCGCTGTAGGTTTGGCAGAGTGCTTTCCCTGTGTTGCCTCATGGGAGTTTTTGTGTAGCCGTGGCCTCCTCAGGGCAGCCCAGAGCCCATTGAGGGGGGGTGCTCTCCTGAATCTGGGGGATTCGTTAGGCTTTCTGAACTGCTGTTGAGGACCTCCTTTTGTCTTGCAGTTTGGATGCTGACATCTGGAAGAAGTTTTTATCTCGCCCAGCCCTCCCCTTCATCTTAAGACTTCTTCGTGGTCTAGCCATTCAGCACCCTTCCACCCAGGTGAGGAGCCAGTGCTCTGTCTTTTGTACCAGAAAGAAAAGGAGCCCTGGAGCCAGCCTTCTCAGCTCTGCAGCTGAATCCCTGAGGGATGTGGAGCGAGTCTTTTATTTTCCTCAGGTTTCAAGATATAGCTTGCTGTGATTTGTATGTCACCACTGTGAGGAGGAATGTCAGATTTCCAGGTCAGAAAGGGACTGCAGAGGTCAGCCAGATTTTCCTCTGTTTCCAAGGTGCCCCGAGATACAGTTTACAAAATGCCTTGAGCTCTTGGGGCAGCCCATGTCCCTGGAGAGCTTGATAATCTTAAAAGTGAGATAAGTAGCTGTTGATTGGTCTCTCTGGGTGGAACTGACAAGAACAATGAGTGACCATCACTTCTTTCCACAGCCCTGAGCATGGAGACCGCCTGGTGGCCAGTGGTCTTGAGCCTTTTTGCCTTTTTGTCCTCTTGGTCAGCCTGAAGGATTTGTTTAGAATGAGCCCCTTACCTTCCTGTTCACTCTGTGACACCCAGATCCCTTTGCTGCTACTATTTTCCAGCTGTCCATAGCTCAGCACCAATTATGACCGGCCTCAGGCAGATGGCCGATTTTAGAACTACTTGGTCCATCCATCTGCCTCCAGATAGGTCTGCACTTAAACCAGTCCAGGTCTGGATCTGTAGAACAGGCTTCTTTGGTGAAAACAGTCCCACACTCTGTCTTGGTGACCCATCCTGGTAAGCAGCTTAGTGAATTGCTTACAGCGGCAGAATTCTTCATTATGTACAACCCAGATCACTGTTGGTATAGTTTAAGCCCATTTTCTTTTGTTCCCCTTCAATGAAGAGAATTATAGTATTAACTTTGATTTATCTAGCATCTCACCTCCAAAGAGTTCCAAGTGTTTTTCACAAAGACCATTTTATTTATCCTTATGCGTTTTTGTGCTGTATAAAATCCTTGTTTTGTAAATGGGGAAATCGAGACAAAATAGACTTAAGCATCTTACTCAAGAAAAACATGGTGTCTTAACAGAGATTAGAAGTGAAATCTGATTCCTAGTCTAAAGCACAAGCTACTAGAATGTGCTGTTTTATCTAAGCCTTTACATCCGTGTTTACCAGCCTGATCTCAGCACCTAATAAGATGCCTGGCACATAATAAGCACTTAATAAATGCTTTTTGATTATTTAATGCTTTGAAAAGGGCTTTCATGATAACATGTCATTGCTAATAGTAGTTTTCCTAGTCATGTATTAAAAATCCCTAATATGGGCACACATTTTGTTATGAAAGTAGATGTAGTGTAGTCTATTTTCATAACAAAATGTGTTTGTTTCAACTTACTTTGTTTCAAAAATTTCTTCCTGCCCTTTCCTCACACATATTTTTTTTAACCTAAGGGTTACATCTTCCTAGACTCCCAGGACCAGCAATGATATATTCCATCAATATATTTCAAGCCAAAAAGCACTTTATTGTCCATGGGAAATGCTGTTTTATATATTCAGTTTTTTAATCTGATCATTCAGCTTTTTCCTCTTTTAAAAAGCATTTTCTCCCATCTTCTTCCTTCTCCACATAAATTGAGGAAAGAATGGGGAAAAAAAGGAAAAAAAATAAAACACTTGTAACAAATATGTACAATTACACAGAACAAATGCCCACATTGACCATGTTCAAAAAGATGGGTCTTATTCTGCATATTTAGTCCATCATCTTTCTGTTAAGAGACAGGTAGCATTGTTCATCATCATTTCTTTGGAGTCATGGTTGGTCATTGTGTTGATCGAAATTCCCAAATTTTCCAGAATGTTGTTGTATAAATTATTCTCCTGGTTTTGCTTTCTTCACTCCGCGTCAGTTTGTCATTTCTTATAATACAATAGTATTCCATTCCACCTATATACTATAGTAGTTTGTTCTGCCATTCCCCAGTTGATGGGCACCCACTTAGTTTCCAGTTTTTTGCCACCACATAAAGGGCTGTTATAAATGTTTCTGTACACATAGGTCCTTTTCCTCTTTCTTTGTTCTGTTTGGGGATAAGCCCAGTAGTGGTATCACTAGGTCAGAGAGATTTTCAGTATAGTAACTTTGGGGCATCATTACAAATTATTTTCCAGAATGGTTCTACCAGTTTGCATCTCTACCAAGAGTGTAATAATCTACTAGCTTTCTCACACCCTCTACAATGTTTGTCATTTTCCTTTTTTGTCAACTTCACCAGTCTGATGAGTGTGTAGTGGAACCTCAGAGTTGTTTTAATTTGTATTTTTCTAATTGTTAGTGATTGGGAAATTTTTTTCACATGACTAGTGAGATCAGCCTTTTCTTCTTCAGCTTATGTCATCCTAACACTTTTTATTTTTCCCTCAGTTGGTCCTGTTTTCTGGCTTGCTGACCTTTGGTGGATACTCCTGTCTCCTGATATTTCTCTGTGTCCTTCTAAGGAGAGAGCCAGAGGGTCTGATACTTAGCGTAGGATTTAGGGCCACAGTGGGACCTTAGAGATGGTCTAGTCCAGTTCCCTCATTTTCCAGTGGAGGCAACTGAGACCTATTATGGAAGGTGATCTTTCCAAGGCTCCAGAGGTAGCAGGGAGCAGAACCAGGATAGGAATTCGGTTCCATTGTTTTTGCCTACTTTCAGAAAGAATTCAGAGTGGTAGTACTGGGTGTGTTAACTGTAAACTCAGAACCATTCCTTCGGTGCCCAAAGTTTTTGGAGTTTGTATAAAAAGTGTCTTCTCGTTGTAACCAGAGGTATGTCTCACTCTGACCTTGTGGCAGGTGCTGATTGGTACAGACTCCATTACAAACCTGCACAAATTGGAGCAGGTGTCTAGTGATGAGGGAATCGGGACCCTGGCTGAGAACTTGTTGGAGGCACTTCGAGAGCATCCTGAGGTGAACAAGAAGATCGATGCAGCCCGAAAGGAGACACGGGCCGAGAAGAAGCGCATGGCCATGGCCATGAGACAGAAGGCCTTGGGGACCCTGGGCATGACGGTAATGCCGCCACGCTGGCCCTTGCCCTTGCCCTTCCTCTCCCTCAACACAGTCCAGTCTGTGTTGATGCAGCTTGTAGTTGGGCAAGGAGCTCTGGGCTCAAGGCCTGCCGTGTGGCCTCAAGCTGGATGATCTTGGTGTCCATGTCTGAAAAACAGATAATAATCTTACCCGCAACCCAGGGGTGTTGGGAAGAGTGTGTAGAGTGTATTGAAAACCTTAAAACAAATCCAAGTATCTAGTATCATCATCCCCTTGCTTATACATCAACTCTGAGATAGGGCAAGTGTGATTCCCATTTTACAGATGAGGAATCTAAGACTCAGAAATGCCATGGCCAAATTTGTGTGGGAGCTAGAAGGCAAACTCAGGGCTCTGGATCTAAAGCCAGTGTTCTGTGTCCTACACCTGACACTACTGCTTTGCTAGGTACTCTCTCCCAGTACTTCAGTGAGCAACAGAGAATTACAGACACTCAGGTTTGGAAACGGCATCAAAGCTTTCTCCTCATAGCAGCCCTGGAAAGTGGGTGGTGTGTTGCTATCTCTCTCTTGTAGATGAGGAAACTGAGGGACTTGCCGAAGTCATGGAGCTAATAAGCGTCAGAGTCTTAGGACTTGAGACCAGTGCTCTTTGCGCTATACTCCACTGCCTCTTAGAGCATTGCTATGAGACCTTATGGGATTTTCTTCACAATAGCCCAGGTCTCTTGACTACAAATACAGGTCTCTTTCCACTGGCTCCTTCTTTCCTTGTTCGTCACGTTGCTAATGGGCCAGGCAGGCTGTTTCCCCCGACTTAGCTGGGGCCTGAGCTCATTCCAGGTGCAGGGCAGGGGTGGGCCTGAAGCCAGGGACCCTGGCAGATACTTCCTCCATTCTCCATGCTTGGGCAGGGAGGCAAGTGGCAGCTCCTGGCATGAGGAAGGGAGTGTTTTTTTGGCTAGGGTTTGTGTTCTACTTGCCTGTGGGACTTCTGTCTGAAGAGGTAGAACACCAGGGGAGGCCTATGCTTTAAACTGTGGTTCCATCACTCTCATTGCTCATACATTTATCCAGCATGTGAACTGTCTCTGACATGTAGTGACCCTGGGCAAGGGTCACTCTCTCAGGGAATAACCCAGGCAATTCTATAGGACAGGAGGGTAAGTTGTGGAGAAGGTGCCAACCTGCACTGGAGGAATGTTTTCTCACTATGTATTTCCCCGGTCCAGTGAAATCACAGGTCAAATTTCTACTCCCTACTCTTATCTCTGTCTAACTCTTTAGGGTTGACAAAGCACTTTACAAACATTAGCTCATTTGAGCTCTGTAACAAACACATGTGGGAGGTAGTGCAAATACTATCTTCTTGTCACAAAGGAGGAAACTGAGGCCTAGAGAAGTGTGAGATCACTTGCCTTGGATCACACAAATCGTAAGTGGCAGAGCAAGGCTTAACACTCAGGGGCTCTTTGCACCGTGTCCATTTTACCCTGTTGGAGATTGCAAGTAATGCCACCAGCAGTCGGGAGCAGCCAGAGGTCATCCCCGTTCCTCTGCTTTCTTAGACTGGGTGGAAACTCCCTTTGACTTTCTCAATTCTGACTGAAATTCCTTCTACAGACAAATGAAAAGGGTCAAGTTGTGACTAAGACGGCCCTGCTGAAGCAGATGGAGGAGTTGATTGAAGAGCCAGGCCTCACCTGCTGCATCTGTAGAGAGGGCTACAAGTTCCAGGTATGGCCACAAAGATCCTGGAGACTGGGGATATGAAGGGCTGGTTGAACGGTGACTCCAAAAGGCAGCTTGGGTATATTCAACAAGACATACTAGTTTCAGCTTATCTGGGGAAATGACCTTGGCATCAGCTTGGAGCTACCAGTTGCTGGAAGCATCCCCCTTCTGAGGAGTTACTTTGCCTCGTACTTACACAGTCTCAGGACATTTAGGTTGACTATAGATTTGGTCCCTCTAGTTAATGACATGAAGTAAACTGATGTTACTATCTAGGGGTGACCTAAGAGGACGATCAGAATCTCTCCTTTTCCCATATTTTTTATTAACTTAACACTGGCCTTTACCTTTCTTTGCCTCTGGTAGAGCAGGGATTCACCTGACTGAGAGGCTTAAAAAGTGGCCTGTGCCTGTCTGCCTTGGGTTTTCTACTTGGAACATAGCCCACTTAAGGGCAAGCACCCTGGGATGAAAGCCGTTGTGCCTCTTCGCGCCTCCATATCACAGTCTTTCAGAATTGTCCATATGGCTTTGGAGGGCAAATCATTCCAAGAGGGCATTTTCAATTAGTTTTCAAACAGATAGAGTGAAAATTTCCCTTGACAGCTCAGGTTTATTTCTGTCCTTGCTGTATAAAGGGCCTCTCCCTAAGTGTAGACATCCTGCAGGAGTCCGTTCAATTCTGTGCTACCTCCCCCATTGTATGCTTTGTGCTCAGGAGAGACCAGTCTCCAGTTCTCTTCTGCCTAAGCAAGGCCCCTTCTCCCAACAGTGGAACCTCAAATGCTGGCTCCTGTTCCTCACTGCCCTTTGCAACCCTGACTTGGGATAGATGTTAACACTTCTCTCCCCCTGCTAAGGTGCTTTTGCCTTTACAGCCTGCAAAGGTGTTGGGCATTTACACCTTCACTAAGCGAGTGGCACTGGAAGAGCTGGAGAATAAGCCCCGGAAGCAGCAGGGCTATAGCACCGTGTCCCACTTCAACATCGTCCACTATGACTGCCACTTGGCTGCCGTCAGGTAGGCTGGGTTAGGCTTCCTTAGCCTTCCACCTCACCTGTCTCTTCTGGAAAAGGCTGGGGTGGGTCAGGGTAAGAGGTTGGACCCATGGAATATCTCCAGAAGCAGCAGGGCAGGGTCTGGGAGGCTCTGGAGATATAATCACAATTTACATTTCTGCAGCATTGTAAAGTTTACCAAGGGCTTTCATCGCATTAAGTCTGTGAAGTAAAGGGCATTGAATATTTTTATCCCCTTTTTATAGATGAGGGAAAGAAGTCCAGGGAAGTAAACTTGGATGTGATGGACTTTTGACTTCTTAGACTAGTGAGTGCCCTTTCTACTCCTGTACCGCATTACAGTGTAATGCCTGTCATCATCATCATTGACGTTACTTTGGCTTTTTGAAGGTCTAAAAAGCACTTCCTTCACAACAAACCTGAGAGAATGGTGGTATGATTAGTATTGTCTTAATTTTACACAGGAGAAAACAGGGTCAGAAACATCTGGTAAATATCACAGCTGGGATTTGAAACCAGCTTTGCTGACTTTGAGTAATCTTTCCCATGTAATCTACATGTAATCTAACCCATACCCGAGTAGGAAACCCCTCCACAACACTCCTAACAAGTAGCCATCCACTCTCTGCTTAAAGAGCTTTAGTGGAGGGAATCGGCTGCTTCCCAAGGTGCCAAGTTTTAAAGAACTGCAGTTATTAGGAAATTTTTTCCTTATAGTGAACCAGAATATGTCTGTCACTCATTAAAAGGGCACTCATTGGTCTTGAGATTCAAAAAGTCCCAAGTTCCTTAAGTCCATTGCATTACTTCCCTAGGCTTTCTTTTCCTAATTTGTGAGCAAGGCATTTCACTAAGCACCACCTCTCTCCATGTTACCCAGGGTCACCAAGATCAGGAACTCAAGCACAAAGGTAGGGGTGTTCCATTCTCCAGGTGGGAGAAGGCAGACAAGTCCTACTCCCTCCTCAAAGGAACCAACTTAGTAAATGCATATCCAGTAAGACTGTTCTCTTCATGTTTTGCTACATTTGCAAATTATCTTCAGCTCTATGGCATAATCCTGGTCAAAGAAGCAACTCTTGGCAATTAGCTCTGAGCATTACCACAGATATTTGAAAAAAGGAGGTGCCTTAATCTAGCTGAGAGAATGAAGAGAAGGTAGCCCACCTCAGGCACTTAGGACGTGCTGAATCTTAGGACTTGGAGCTGAAAGAGCCTACCAGCATCCTCTGGTCCAGGCCCTTCTTTTTTAGATGGAGGAATCTGAAGCCAAGGGTGGTCAAGTAACTTGCTCAGGGTCCTAGAAATACCAGTTGGTTAACAAGCATTTGTAAAGGATCTTGTGCTGGGCACCGTACTCAGCCTTGGTGGGATAGAAACATTAACTAGTTCCTTACCTCGAGGAGTTCACATTTTATTAGAGGAAATAACATGTACATGTATATATTCAAAATAAATACAAGATAATTTGGAGGGATGGGGCAGCACTAGTAGCTGGGGGTAGGGAACAGTAGGGAAAGGCTTCCTGGAAAAGGTCATACTTGAGCTGAGCTTTGGGTTTTTTTTTTTGTTTGTTTGTTTGTTTGTTTTTGTTTTTTGGGTAGGCAAGGGGGTTAAGTGACTTTCCCAGGGTCACACAGCTAATGTTATGTGTCTGAGGCTGGATTTGAACTCGGGTCCTCCTGAATCCAGGGCCGGTGCTCTATCCATTGCGCCACCTAGCTGTCTCTTGAGCTGAGCTTTGAAGGAGACCAAGGGTTTCTAGGAGGTTCTCAATGGTTCTAGGAGAGGAAGTGAGAAGGTGTTGGTGATCCGCTGGCTCCAACCCTACCCCATGTGCCCTCCGGAATCAGCTCTAACTGGGAGGGAGCCAGGGTGCCCCCTCCTCTTATTGGGAGGCTGCTACCTAATGCAGAGCAAGATGTCCCTTCCAAGTCTACATGACCGTTTGTATCATGTTTGATGCTTTGCAAAACACTTTCTTCACAACCACAGCAAGAAGTAGATGGTACAAGCATCACTATATTCATTTTACAGAGGAGGAAAATAAGTCTCAGAGAAGTCAACTGTCTCGTCCAGCAGCCAAGTTTGCTAACAAGGGGAAGAGCCGAACTCTAAAAACTGGGCTCTTCTGCCTCTGGCTCCCCCTCCCACATGTGCTATGACTTAGGATCAGTTGATCTAAGGTGGCAGTTTGTTCTGCTCCATTGGTCTTTCCTCTGCTGTCAGTCTGTACCACTGACACTGACCCACGAGCTGTTGCAGGGGAACCAGACTTTGATACTTGTACACTGTAGTAGTATGGCTGAAAAATGGACCTGTATGGAGTGCCATCATAGTCACCAGGGAGGACATTTCCCACCTCCCTAGGGGGCTGCCCAGTTTGAGATGCGGCATGAAACCTGCCTCAGCTGGAGCCCTGTCTTTCACAAGGATCTGGTGGGGTGAGTCCCAGCATTCTCTTGTCCTCCCTTATAGATTGGCCCGAGGGCGAGAAGAATGGGAGAGTGCAGCCCTTCAGAATGCCAACACTAAGTGCAATGGACTCCTCCCAGTCTGGGGACCCCATGTCCCAGAGTCAGCTTTTGCCACTTGCTTGGCAAGGTGAGTCTTGAGTTTATCATCTGATATGGAATTCCTGGTGTCAAGGATGGTATCAGCTAGCGGGAGCAATTGTCTTTTTTTAGTCCAAACCTGGGTTATAAAGTTGATAGTTTGGTCATGCCATGACTCAACATTACTTGTCACTGAAGGCCGTATCCAGTCATTATTTTGGTCGCTTCCAGCCTCCCAGAGATGAGTTTGATGTGGCCCAATACACTCAGAGAACTAGGCTTAGAGAAGTAGGCTTAGTTCTATTGTATGGTATTTAACATCTCTTTGCCCACCTCTGCCCTGGAGGGACATCTAGATACTAGTTCCCAGAGGAGTTACCAGAGCTCAGTTGTGCAGCGTCACCAGCATCCCAGTTTAGTAAAGTGGAGATGGATGATGTGAATGACATGGGGTTGTGGAATAATGTTTGTAAAGCACTTTTACAAGCCTTAGGCAGGGCTTCTTCACCCCTTCAGCGCTTCTTAAACTGTGGGTCGTGCTGCCTTAGAGCATTATTATATAAGCATCGGCTATTACTGTTATTTTTATGATTTGGCCTCTTTTAAGTCTTTAGCCCCTTGGGGTGAGAGTGTCTGAAGTGGACCTCCAGCTTTATTTCACAAGACAAAGGGATGAAGTGGGAATTCCTATTAAGAAGACACTAGTAAAAAAATGTTGGTAGAAATTTGGGAGATGAGAAAAGGATTCTGGAAGACTCCGTAGGTAGAAGGACAGAAAGAGGAGTGTGACCTATTTTCTTTTATGTGATGATAGGATTGATTTATGGGATGATAGGATGATAGCCGGAAGGGACCTTTGTTGTTGTCTAATCCAAAACCCTCATTTTCCAGGCTTTATTTCCAAATGAAAGAACGGATGTGTCCTGTAGAAATTATTCCTTCAAGAAATTGGCCCCAAATAGCTCATTTCCTCTGACATAGCTATATTTTTCTATCTTACCTATCTATCTATCTGTCTGTATGTATACTGATTTTTGTTACATGAAGATCCATAGCAGAAAGGTGAAGATTTCATATGCCTTTGTGTGCTTTCTAGCCCCCTCTTTTACCTGCAAATCTGTTACTGAGCTGATCCGTTTGAA